CTTGCTCTCTCCTGTCCCTCCCCCTTCCGCCAGTGTTGAAAAAGGTTTTCAATATTCCTCGCCAAACAGTCGTTACTCTGGCTATCCTTCAATTGGCAAGGATTTATAAACGAAGCTAAACGAAAATGATTATTCAATTCGAAAGCAAATCATGTATTTGAATAATACAAACGTGGTTCGGGCAGAAACTGTTGCTTTTGCACCACAGCGAGGCACAGTGGTGCAACGAGTGCAAAGCAAAAGGCAACTATCTGGTGGCGCTGCATTGCAACCGCTTCAATTGGCTGCTCACCGTGGACTGACGATCAACAAAAAAAAAAACAACAAACAAGATTTTGAATAGCTCTTGCCATCAGCCAAAAGCGTTAAGCTTTTCGATCATTGCGACTTTACTATGTGTATTATGTAGTAAGAAGAGCGAGAGTTTAATAGCCCCTCGACCGCAGACCTTGATCCGTACGGCATCGTCGATCATGAGAGAGTCAAAAAAATGCTTACATATAAATATCGTGTAACCAAACTTGAACTGTAGATGCATCGCTAGATATACCCAAAACTAAGCAATATATTATTTATTCATTTTGTTCATAAATAAATTAATAACAAAATATCATAAAATAGATAAGCAGCTGATGGACATAGCTTTATCAAGTCTATCTTGTTAAGGCTAACATTATTTAGCTAAAATATGAGACGTTCTTTTTAAAATGTATATTTTATAATTCATGATTTATGAATTATAAAATTTATATATATATACATATAATTATATATATTAATTTTTTTATAACAAAAGAAAGATGTGATAAAAGGAATTATTAAAAATGTATATAAATTATAAATACTACAAATACTTTCTGCCTTTCTTCACATAATACATATGAGCAATATATATGGATTAACTGTAAATTCATTTGAATATTAAAATTAGATTAAGAGAATTAGTCAGAAAAATAACAGCATTATAAAAATACTATCTGATAATCTGATTTAGTGCACTTGCTGAATTTAATAAGGCAATGAAAGCAGTTGTTTAATAATTTCTACAATTTACAGGGTATTAAATGAATGATCAGAATATGCACAAGCCCTTAGATGTCATTAGTCTACATATTTGAATTAAAATAAAATACATTTCATTACATTGTACCTTAGCTAAAGTATTTTTTATCATAAAACATCGCTAAAACAGGTCGATCAGTCAGCTGAGTTAAGATCTACAAAAAAAAGGTCAAGGTCGTACAGTAGCTCGAAACTAATTAATATATGGGCTTTAAAGATGTCAAGGGGAAATGAGTAAAGAAGCCAGAACAGAATGCAAATTTAGTTGAATGCTCACATAGAAAGAGCACCCTGTATGCTGCAGACACGTCTAATGGCACGAAACTTGTTTGCTGTTTAGTCAATTAAACCAAAACTGCGAACTTGACAAAGAAAACAATAAAATAATATATATATATATATATATATATTTTTTTTTTTTTATATTATCTTATATATTAATATGTGTTTATACTGCGCTTTCTGGATTTCTGAATTTCATTTGGAATATAAGATATAATGACTGCACACCAGAAATATCAGAACAATCGTCGCCGTCCAGCCAAGCTAACACTTTTTTGTTGATTTCATTTGATTGCATTTCAATTTAAAAATGTACAAAGTAAAAATTTTTAATTTTTTAAGCCTTTTGGTTGTATCCATTTTGATAGCTCTGACGACAGCCTCCAATTATCTGGCTGAAAAACGTAAATGAAAAATAATATTAAACTAGCAATCACGGTTCGAACTCTAATTAACTGAAACTTGTTTCTTTTGCCTTTTAGCCAGTTTTTTGACGCCTTGTGTCTTGGAGGATCCGCAGTTTAGCAAATGCCTTGCGAGCAATTTGCAAAACATGTTCGTACAGTGGAAGGATGGTATACCCGGCACAAATACCGTGGGATCCTTAGATCCTTTTTTCTTAAAGCGTGTCAAATTTGCACAGAATACTAACAGCGCCATTTCGATCAATGCGGATATGCAAAATGTTTACGTCAAGGGCGCCCGCCTGTTAACAGTGAAGGAGGCCAAGTAAGCTGCAAGAAATTAAAATATTGTAATGCAAATATGCGCTGCATTATCTGATTTGTATCTATAAGATTGAACAGCTTCTTCGGCATCATCAATGAAATTACATTCGTCATATTTATTTCATTTATTTCAGCTACAATCCCTCTAAATATGTTGCTCGAGTTCTTGCCTTTGTGTCCAAATTGCGTTTTGAATTCGACTATAAGGTCAAGGGTCATGTGCTGGCATTGAATCTCAACGGTCACGGCAAAGGTCACTTTGAAGCAGGTAAGCCACGTAAATACGCACACCAAAAAAAATAATACATTCTTTATTCGAATCCAGATAATGTTGTTATTAGCATGGATATGGCTGTCAAGCCACTCAGCACTCCTGAAGGCACTTTTGCCGATGTGCAGCGTGTGAAAATCGCCTTACGAGAGATCGGTAATTTCCATATCAATCTAAGCAATTTGTTCGGCGACAATGCCGAGCTGAATAATGCGGCCCATACCATATTTAATGAGAATTGGCGTGAATTCTACGAAGTGCTTAAGCCGGCAATTGAACAAACCTTCGAAACGGTTCTACTGGATCGTACCAAGAAGATATTTGCCTATGTTCCGGCCACCTACTTCATACACAACTTTCACTGATTCCTAGAAGGAAATATTGTTAAAAATGCATGCGAAATGTTCAATAAATTTTAATATATATAAATATATATATATGGCATTGAATAATCTCAGCTTTAAATTTCCTTAGAGCGAATGCGAGACAACGAGCAAGGCAGAAGAGGAGAGAAAAAGCGAGTGAGAGCGAAAGAAGGAAAGAGAGAGAGAGAGAGATGAGTTTCCTCTATATATACGTCGATACATCCATACATATAAATATACTGACATACATACACACACATATACATACATACATACATACATACATACATACATACATACATACATACATACATACATACATACATACATACGTACGTACATACATACATACATACATACATACGTACATACGTACATACATACATACATACATACATACATACATACATACATACATACATATTTATAAAAATTCATACATCCATAAATACATATGCATACATTCGTTCACTCATACATAAATAAATTATGAATATTATCTACCCACATACATACATACATAAATACAAATGCTCGTATATGAAGACACTCATACATACACACATATATAAACACATACTAAATGCATCTGAAGTACAAATTGTTAGTGTATTACCTTCTGCCAAGCCAGTCGAACCTTTGCATTATTTAAAGTCTAAGATCTAAGCACAAAAGATTGCAATTAAATAAATAATTAATACTAATTAAATATTCAATAAATAATTATTATTAAATTATATATGCAATATATTTAAAAAAAAGTAAAAAGTAAATTTAAAATTAAAATAACAACTATGCTAAAAATATAATATATAAAAAAAAAAAAAAAATATATATATGTATATATATATATATATATATATTATATATATAAATATATATATATATATATATAATAAAATATATGACTGATATATTTCTTTATCTCAATAAATATAGATCTACTGTAATTTTCCAATTATATGTAAAAATATTTATAAATACATAGTTACAATTACATAGTTTCTATATACATATGTATATATTAACTTGCATTGACACTTCAAGTTAAAACGGCCTGACATTAACAATTTGTAGTTTAATTGTGAGCTCAAAGCTCAGCGACGAGAACGTACTTACTGCCTCCATTCCGTCCGCCTCTCATATATGGTGTGGCACAGATTGATGTAATCGAGCAGCTCTGTCGGTTGTCGGTTGGATTCGCATTTAGACATTTACCTGCCGTCATGATGAAAAGTTCGTTTAGCTTGGGCTGCGGCCTGCTTGCAGTTTGGCTTCTGAATGCGGTCGTCGCCGTTGAGTACTACACGCAGAAACGTAAGTTGGCCGCAGATAAGCCTTCAAGTCTGCCTCGATGCAGTTAAGATACTTATATGCATCCATGGTTAGCGGCGTTTTTGCCCTCGTGCCGCATTTATGAGCCGGGCTTTACCAATTGCTCCACGCACAGCATACAGAAGCTGCTGGAACAGTTGACCATTGGCATACCGGAGATTTTGGAGAGCTATGGGCCCTTCGATCCCATGAATGTGAGGAATATCTATTTCAAGCAGGACAACAACGAGGTGGCAACAATCAGTGCCAATCTGACGGATGTGATAGTTTCAGGTTTCTCAAAGACCAAGATCAAGGAAAGCCGGTGAGCAATAATAGGTTACAAATTAATTATACATATTTATTAAAGCTAGTTAAATAACAAGGGAAGCAAGTGAGCAATAGAAAAATCTAAAAATATAGTGGAAGGTTGATTAATTGTAATATAAGAGAAATGCTTATTATGGAATTTATTGCAAAATTACCATACTTATATAATCATCAGAAATATAATGTGTGACCGTGCAATGCCGGGTAATTGTAATATAACTTATTTGTATGTACTTAAAGTGTTAGCAAAAAGGATTTTGGCTGGCAAACCAAAATCTATCTGCCCAAAATGCGACTAGATGCAACATATCAGATGGCTGGTCGTATACTCTTAATACCTTTAAGTGGCACAGGTCACATATTCATAGAGATCGGTAAGAAAGCTTTATCCCACAAGAAATTGTTACCGAATGTACATATAATCTCTAGAGGATCTCGATATACTGCTGCTGACCAAGACGCGACTGTACGAGAAGGGCGGCTTCACCTTTGACAATGTGACCTCGGTGCGGGTAATGCTAAATATGTCCCGGGTGCGCACTCAATTGGATAATTTGTTCAATGGACGCAGTGAAGAAGTGGCGCGCAGCACGAATCAGTTCTTCAATGACAACTGGCGCGACTTCTATGAGGCACTGAAGCCCCTAATACTGCAGACCGTGGAGGACATATTCTACGAGATAATGTCAAAGGTGTTCCATCTGATACCTGCAAATTTCTTTGTCGAGGATATTCCAACACCCCAGCAACTATACGGAAAAAACACATATGAAAATAAATAATAACAATGTTGATAAAAATACAAATAAAAATAAACTCATAGCATTCCATTCTTATCGCAAATAATATATGTATATAGAAATACATATATTATTGCATTGCAATAGTTGTGAAATTATTGCGGAAAAAACTCTAATAATTTACATCTTTTCTCTTTGTTTATTTTTTTTAAATATTTTATTAACATTAACTTTTAATATATTTTAAATTTCTTTGCTTTATTCGCTATGATGTTCCCTTAATTTATGAACGTCCACAAAAACGAGTTTGCAACAAATAGAATGAGCCACTGAAAATATGACAATTTTCTAGATTGCCCCGAATTTTTCTTGTCTTTCGTTTTTTTCACACAAACATTATTTTTGAAAACGTAGCCCTCATTGCAACTACACTGATTAGGGGATGCGCAGAAGCCATTGCGACATTCGTCTTCGCAAACTGGAGTACAACTGTTCTCAGTTGCTCGAGAATATCCTTGATTGCATGTGCACTTTCCTGGAGCACTACAGTAGCCATTCTCACAGCCACCTTTACATACTGGAGCACAACTGTTGTCATTAATTGGATAATATCCCTCATTACAGGAACATTTTCCTGGAGCACTGCAGAAACTGTTCTCACAACCTTCACTACAGACTGAAGCACAACTATTCTCAGTTTCCAGAAAATATCCCTCGTTACAGGAGCATTTCCCTGGACCACTACAGTAGCCATTCTCACAGCCTCCTTGACACACTGGAGCACAACTGTTCTCATTTATAGGAGAATATCCTTCGTTACAGGAGCATTTCCCTGGAGCACTACAGTAGCCGTTCTCACAGTCTTCATTGCAGATTGGAGCACAAATGGCCTCATTTACTAGAGAATATCCTTCATTACATAAGCACCTTCCTGGTCCGATACACATGCCGTTTTCGCAACCGCTCGGACATTCTGGCTCACATATAGATTGACTTGTTTTGCTATATCCTGGTAGACATTTACACTCATTCGGGGCCGCACATCTGCCGTTTACGCAAGCATCCTTACATACAGGCACGCAACTGGTATAGGAAGCGACGATACAAGAATAATGTACTTATACTCGGGGATAAATTCATCTACTATACACTCACCGATTAGACGGCAAATGGTTAAAATAATCATAGCCCTCAAAGCACTGGCAGACATTTGGCTTTATGCACTTGCCGTTCTCACAATTGATGCAAATCGGCTCACACTCCAAAGTTGTGCCGTTGTTGGAAATAGGTTTGTAGCCAGTGCAGCAATCATAGATTTTAGTTTTCTATGTTTAAGTTATTATTTAGATAGGTAATCAAAATCATAGCACAACTTCATAACTTACTTGGCCCTTCCTATTATATTGAATCCTTGGACACAATTCTGCCACAAGGCAACTGGGTAATAGCAGATAAAGAAATAGATTCCAGACTAACATCGTGCAGTATTTACTCCGCTCAACTAACGAATAAGAATGCAGAACTTTAAAGTAAATCTTTTATAACATTTTGCTCGTTTATGGTGAATTATTCATACGAAATTTCAATGGAAGCGAAACTTAGATATTTATGGAAACAAACCAAATAAATGTATAAAATAGTTGCATGTTTTTGTTGTTGTGGTTGAGGTAACCGATCTGCATTTTGAAACATGATAAAATATGAAAGCACAAAAATAATACATATATATTTACGCTTTTACAAATAAGCATCTTTCAAATTAAATAATATGTAACTCATTGTTACAAATTCCTTTTTAATAAAAGGACTTGCAGTCCAATATAATTTGAGCCTTAAGTCGCTCAACCACAAGAATCACATAAAACAGCTCCCCATTTCACTGTCATTATGTGAGATGCTATACTTAAACACTTAAAGTCTCTAAATATCTATATGTATAAGACGTATAGACAGCCAAACAGGCCTAAGTTCTCTCGGCTGTTGTGTTTGTTCAGCAAAATATATAATTTGTGAGTCATCCACGTCTTGTTCTATCTGAAACATTGATAAATGGCTTCAGAAGGTGGTTAACCACTTGATATTAATATGATCATACTTAAGAGATAATAAATATATTCAAGACTTTTAGAATCGGTTTCGGGGACTTGCATTCAGCTGATACTCAGCAGGCCAAATAGAGCCAACATTAAGCGTTGTCTTCGAGGTGGCTCAGTTCGGCTCATATAGACTTTAATTTATTCTCATTTAATATTCAAATAATAAAAAATTGTACAAGTTGATTTTGTGTGAAACATCGCAATAAAATATTTTCAGTATTTAATATTATTTTACATAAGCTACGAATTACATTGAAGCATTTCACAACTTGATATTCCGACATCAATTAACATGCATATATTATAAGTAATTAGTTCTTAAAATATCTTGGAGTAGCATTTGTAGTACTTGAAGTACATCTAAACGGGTATTGCATCAACTTCTTTGTCCACTCGGAATCTCTTTATGAAAGACATGCAAACGGGTATGCAATAAATAGAAAGAGCCACTGAAAATAGCACAAGTTTCTAGTTTGCGCCGAATTCTGGATGTCTTCCTCCATCTCTACGGTAGTTAATATCTCTGCGTCAATCGACTTGGCCACACAAGTATTATTGTTGAAAAGGTAACCCTCACTGCAACTGCAGTTATTGGGGGAGGCACAGAAGCCATTGAAACATTCATCTTCACACACTGGAGCACAACTGTTCTCAGTGACTGGCGAATATCCTTGATTGCAGGTGCACTTTCCTGGACCACTACAGTAGCCATTCTCACAGCCTCCTTCACATACTGGAGCACAACTGTTCTTACTTATTTTAGAATATCCTTCGTTACAGGAGCATTTCTCCGGAGCACTACAGAAGCCGTTCTCACAGTTTCCATAACAGACTGGATGACAAAATTCCTTCTTTACTCGAATATATCCTTTATTACAGAAGCACCATCCTGGTGCGACACACATGCCGTTTTTACAGCCGCTCGGACACACCGGCTCACACTTAAATGGACTTGCTTTTCTATATAATGATAGACATTCACACTCATTTGGGGCCACACAGTTGCCGTTTATGCAACCGTTCTTACATACAGGCACGCAACTGGTATTGGAAGAGACGATAAAGGAAATATTACATGAATATATTTCATGCATCATCGGGATAATTTCATCTACTTTTAACTTACTGATTAGATGGCAAATTGTTAAAATTATCATAGCCCTCAAAGCACTGGCAGACATTTGGCTTTATGCACTTGCCGTTCTCACAATTGATGCAAATCGGCTCACACTCCAAAGTTGTGCCGTTGTTGGAAATAGGTTTGTAGCCAGTGCAGCACTTAACGGTTTTAGTTTTCTATGTTTAAATTATTATTTAGATAGGTAATCATAGTCATAGCACAGCATCACAACTTACGTAGCCTTTACTATTATATGAAAACTGTGGACACAATTGTGCCACAAGGCAACTCGGCAAGAGCAGATAAAGAAATATATTCCAGACTAACATCGTGCACTACTTACTCCGATCTACTAAAGAATAAGACTGCACAATAATAAAATGATTGCCTTTAAATGTTGCATAAAGCTTGACGCTCGGTTATAGTGATATTCATATGAGCATACACTGAAAGAATATTGATTAAAGAAAAAACCAAATCCAGTAAATGTCGTACAAAGACAAAAGACTACATATATATACACACACATATATATATATATATATATAATCTAGAATTAAATGAATAAATGTAATTGACACGCCTTAAGGCCTAAAGCTTAGGCTTAATCTTTTTGTTTTTGTCTTCTTTCAGTGTATGCTTATCGGCGAATGTGCTGTTGACCCCACCAAGAATATACATATTTAATTGAGTACATCAAACTCAATTCTCAATTACAGACCTGCACATTAATGGGATCCACAATATCTTTGTATGACAATTTAAACATAGTTCGAATGATATTTATAAGCAAATGTACATGGTTCACGAAAAAGACTTTAGATAACTACAACAACTAAAAAACTCCAGTCATTAGTCTAGGACTCACTGCCTTGATCTGGGCATGCTAAATTTCAACTCAAGCACAATAAGAAAGTAATTCTTTTTCATACTAGCCCTGAAAAAATATATTAAAAAAACAAATCTAGTAAATATCGCCATGTAATAATCTCAAAACATGAACTAAAAACTTTATATATATATATATATATATATATATATATATATATATATATATATATATTTATATATATATTCTTATTTATATATATATATATATATTTATATATATATATATATATATATATATATATATATTTATATATATATATTTATATATACTTACTAATACCTATTTTCTCGATTTCCACAACCTTTGTACAACAGCACAAATATCGTTTAGAGCCATCAAGAATTAAACGAATAAATGTAAAATACACGTTTTAAGGTCCTGAGCTTAAGCTTACTCATTTTGTTTCAAAGTTCCTTATAGTTTTCTTTCAGTGCATTGAAAGCCAACCGCAAACCGTGCATAAGCTGTCTTACACATCCCGCAAATAATCTCGGCTGTTGACCTCACCAAGAGTACATCATCATCAATTGAGTACATCAAATACAATTCTGCCAGTTACAGGCATATACAGAAAAACAACATCGACTTGGCTGTTATTTCTGATCAACAAACTATAGACCTTGTGGTTTGGAACGCGCCGTCTTCAGTCCGTTTCATTCATATCCAGTATATGGGCTCAGGCTAGAAAAAGATGGTGGTTAACAACTCAATATTAATATGGTAATATTGAGGAAATATAAATATGTTTAAGTAGGTAATTCAATTGGATGAATCAGTTTCCTAACACTAATCGAAACTGGTGGATGGGGACTCGCATTCGGATTTAAGCCTGATATTCAGCTGGCCAAATAGAGCCAATACATTTACGTTGTCTTCGAGCTTGCTCAGCTCGACTCATGAACATTTATGAAAATAGAATTTAATTTATTCTCTTTTAATATTCAACTAACAAAAATTGTCCAAGTTGTTTTTTTCTGACGCATCACAGTGCACAATAAAATAGTTACAGCATTAAATTTAAATTAAAGCATTACATAAAAACTTGATGTTCCGACATCAATTAACATGCATACATTATAAGTAATTAGTTCTTAAATTATCTAAGAGTATTATTTGAAGTACTTGACATTTATTTCATTCCGCTGAGGTCTGCTAAGATCGTATTATATCAGCTTGTTTTGCTGAATAGTGAACACCATATCGTTTTTCTGCAATGAAGAGAGAATGATTAGATATACTTCGACAAATATGAAAGGTGGATAAACTGGACTTGCCTTTTCTGTCTACCCTGTAATCGCGTTTCCTTAATTTATGAATGAACACGCATATAGTGAACGCTAAAACCATAATCGTAACAGCAATTAACAGAATGAGCCACTTGAAATATGGCAAGCTGCCAGTATGACCCGAATGTTCCATACGATCAGAGCTGGGGCATTGCACTCCCTCTTCCGGCACATGACCATCATAGCAGGCGCATACGTCTGGATATGCACAGTATCCGTGGACGCACTTCTCCTTGCACTCGGGCAGACAAAGCAATTTAGTAGTGTTCCCACTATCCTGGGTCAATGTGTAATGCTCCTCACAAGAACAGCGTCCATCCACACAGCTTCCATTATAGCAACGTTGCTCACACGTCATCAGCCCCAGGTCCGGGACAACCGCTTCCTCCATATCTACGGTAGTTGATATCTCTACATCATCATCCGACTTCGCCACACAAACATTATTGTCGAACACGTAACCTTCACTGCAACTGCAGCTATTGGGGGAGGCACAGAAGCCATTGAGACATTCATCTGCACATACTGGAGCACAACTGCTCTCAGTGACTGGAGAATATCCTTGATTGCAGGTGCACTTTCCTGGAGCACTACAGAAACCGTTCTCACAGCCACCTTCACATACTGGAGCGCAGCTGTTCTCAGTGACTGGAGAATATCCTTGATTGCAGGTGCACTTTCCTGGGGCACTACAGAAACCGTTCTCACAGCCACCTTCACATACTGGAGCGCAGCTCTTCTCAGTGAGTGGAGAATATCCTTCGTTACAGGTGCACTTTCCTGGGGCACTACAGAAACCGTTCTCACAGCCACCCTGACATACTGGAGCACAACTGTTCTCAGTGACTGGAGAATATCCTTCATTGCAGGTGCACTTTCCTGGGGCACTACAGAAACCGTTCTCACAGCCACCTTCACATACTGGAGCGCAGCTCTTCTCAGTGAGTGGAGAATATCCTTCGTTACAGGTGCACTTTCCTGGGGCACTACAGAAACCGTTCTCACAGCCATCAACACATACTGGAGCACAACTGTTCTCAGTGACGGGAGAATATCCTTCGTTACAGGTGCACTTTCCTGGGGCATTACAGAAACCGTTCTCACAGCTACCCTGACATACTGGAGCACAACTGTTCTCAGTGACTGGAGAATATCCTTCGTTACAGGTGCACTTTCCTGGGGCACTACAGAAACCGTTCTCACAGCCATCAATACATACTGGAGCACAACTGTTCTCAGTGACGGGAGAATATCCTTCGTTACAGGTGCACTTTCCTGGGGCATTACAGAAACCGTTCTCACAGCCATCAACACATACTGGAGCACAACTGTTCTCAGTGACGGGAGAATATCCTTCGTTACAGGTGCACTTTCCTGGGGCATTACAGAAACCGTTCTCACAGCTACCCTGACATACTGGAGCACAACTGTTCTCAGTGACTGGAGAATATCCTTCGTTACAGGTGCACTTTCCTGGGGCACTACAGAAACCGTTCTCACAGCCACCCTGACATACTGGAGCACAACTGTTCTCAGTGACTGGAGAATATCCTTCGTTACAGGTGCACTTTCCTGGGGCACTACAGAAACCGTTCTCACAGCCATCAATACATACTGGAGCACAACTGTTCTCAGTGACTGGAGAATATCCTTCGTTACAGGTGCACTTTCCTGGGGCATTACAGAAACCGTTCTCACAGCCACCCTGACATACTGGAGCACAACTGTTCTCAGTGACTGGAGAATATCCTCCGTTACAGGTGCACTTTCCTGGGGCACTACAGAAACCATTCTCACAGCCATCAATACATACTGGAGCACAACTGTTCTCAGTTACTGGCGAATATCCTCGATTGCAGGCGCACTTTCCTGGGGCACTACAGAAACCCTTCTCACAGCCACCTTCACATACTGGAGCGCAGCTGTTCTCAGTGACTGGAGAATATCCTCCGTTACAGGTGCACTTTCCTGGGGCACTACAGAAACCGTTCTCACATCCATCAATACATACTGGAGCACAACTGTTCTCAGTTACTGTCGAATATCCTCGATTGCAGGTGCACTTTCCTGGAGCACCACAGAAACCGTTCTCACAGCCACCTTCACATACTGGAGCACAACTGTTCTCAGTGACTGGAGAATATCCTCCGTTACAGGTGCACTTTCCTGGGGCACTACAGAAACCGTTCTCACAGCCACCTTCACATACTGGAGCGCAGCTGTTCTCAGTGACTGGAGAATATCCTTCGTTACAAGTGCACTTTCCTGGGGCACTACAGAAACCGTTCTCACAGCCACCTTCACATACTGGAGCGCAGCTGTTCTCAGTGACTGGAGAATATCCTCCGTTACAGGTGCACTTTCCTGGGGCACTACAGAAACCATTCTCACAGCCATCAATACATACTGGAGCGCAGCTGTTCTCAGTAACTGGAGAATATCCTCCGTTACAGGTGCACTTTCCTGGGGCACTACAGAAACCGTTCTCACAGCCACCTTCACATACTGGAGCACAACTGTTCTCAGTGACTGGAGAATATCCTTGATTACATGTGCACTTTCCTGGGGCACTACATAAACCGTTCTCACAGCCACCCTGACATACTGGAGCACAACTGTTCTCAGTGACTGGAGAATATCCTCCGTTACAGGTGCACTTTCCTGGGGCACTACAGAAACCGTTCTCACAGCCACCTTCACATATTGGAGCGCAGCTGTTCTCAGTGACTGGAGAATATCCTCCGTTACAGGTGCACTTTCCTGGGGCACCACAGAAACCGTTCTCACAGCCTTTGAGACATTCCGGCACACAGGCGGAGTCGCTTAATTTGGTGTATCCCTCTAGACATTCGCATGTATCTGGAGCCGAACATTTGCCATTGAGGCAGCCGTCCTTACATACAGGTTCGCACAGATTTTGTGTGACATTCAGACTGTGGCCAGCCTTGCAAATTGGTTGGCAAATCTTGGTTTTAATATTAAGTGTGTAATTCTCATTGCAAATGCAAACTCCAGGTGACTTGCAAGTTCCATTAGCACAGCCACTTTTGCAGACTGGCAGACAATGACCAGAGTCCGCATTGAGCTGGTAGCCCTGTGCACAGTTGCACTTTTCTGGCGATACGCAAAATCCATTTTTACAGTTGCCCTTGCATTTCGGCACGCAACTAGATAGGACGATATTTTTTGTGAAATATGTAACTTGATGAGAATTATTTCTAAGAATTACTTACTGATTAGATGGCATATGGTTGAAATTATCATAGCCCGCAAAACACTGACATACTCGTGGCTTGATACATTTGCCCTTTAAGCAATTTCGGCATATGGGCATACATTCTAGTTTGTTGATGTTCTTCATATTACGCTTATAGCCTGGACAGCAAACGGCGATTCTTTTTTGCTATAGTTTGAGATGTTTAAAAAATGATTTACAAATTTGTTCATATTTGCGGCACAAGCTATGAAAACTTACTTCTCGTCCCATATACCTAGTTTGAGTACAAATCTTTGCCAAAAGATAACTGGGCAATAGAAGAGATATGACGATATGTCGGACTAACATTGTGCAGCATTAACGCCGATCGGCTTAGGAAAGAGACTGTACAGAAAAAAGCAGAGAACGTGGAGCTTAGCTCGGGGCTGGCTTCGGAACTTACACTGCAAGAAAAGCTTGAGACTTAGAGATATAGTTCTAACACTCAACTAAATGTTCCAAGTCCATGAACGAAACATTTAAACATTATAAACAGATAAAGAATTCTAAAAGTTGTGCTGAATCAGAGATTTTCCCGATCACGTTATATTTATGAATTGAGCGAATCATCCAGAGATGGTATTTATACATCCATTTGATCTACAAACGTTTGCTCACCTGTGCAACGAAACTAATGTACTCTAAACAGCACATTTGCTCCGAGTGTGGTTTCGCACTATATCATTTTTTCCAGTGTGGTATCTGCGAGTGAGAATGAAATGCTTATCTCAAACTTAACCATGCGGACACTGCTTGAACTTTGGTTGGGCATATCTTCAATTTTTTAAGTTAATATTTTTGCTCTAGACGATACATTTAATACACTTGCCTCAATTGTAGAGTATAATACATTATTGAAAAAAATATATAATATTTTTGAATATTATATATATATATTATTTATTTTAAATAATTTAACTTATATATTAAATATTTAAAAAAAACTTTATTATTAAACTTATGTTAGGATATATATGTAGCTAAATCTTAACTTGTTTGTTTCACGAGTATGTCAAACTCTGAGCATATCAAGTCTAAGTTGGTCACGGAATTTGCATATATATAAAATTGCACTTTCATATAGAAATAGTATTTATTACAAACACAACACAAACGGAAGATGTATATATATATAGCCATGAAATATTATAAGTTTGTTGGCGCAGGATGTAAAATATTATATAACTATACTATAATTCAAGCAAATCCAATTAGTTTATAACAATATAATTGATATAAAATGATACATGAATACTATATTAACGACATTAATTTATGTTATAGCTAATTTGTTATATTTATATAATAAATAAAGTACTTTTTTTTTAAGTTTGGCATTAGGTTCAGTTGCTCAATATACGTTTCTTTATATTGCGCAACTCTGGAAAGATAGGGCATAATATCGCTTCCCTTCCTCAGTTTTGGTAGTTTTTTTATTATTTTGCAGCCGCTCTTGATACGAGCGTAACTGCGGGAGAGCACACATTGCTCAAAATTGCGCACTTTCAAGAAACCAATGCTAATATTTTAAACATGACCAAGAAATAACAACAACGACTTTCAATATGGGTCTACTCTATTTGAACGATTTGAACTATTACCACGGATTACGGAGTAGTATTTTGCCTAATATAGATAAATAGATAGATTGATTATAGATAAATAGATAGATTGATAGCTCACTGCAATATAAAAATAAATATATATATAAATATATATCTATATATACATATATATAAACAAATAAATATATACATAACAATTATTATCTATTAAATATCGACAAGTCCTCCTATTACAAGTGCAAAACAAGTAAGAACAAATCTATTTTATATATTTCTTTATAGCATCTAACGGAATTTCCATGATACGTCACTAACTTTTAATTTATGCGGGCATATAAACTGCTTTTAGAGGAAGTACGTAAAATATCATGGAAATTATAACTACGACTTGTATAGGCTCATATCAACTAAGCAAACCCATGCAGTGAATCATAATTCAAATATTTCATACTTTATAAGAGAAACATGTTATCTTTATAAATTTACTTATATCATTTTAAATAAACAAATAATTTGCAACTTTTTATTTATTTGAAAACTACTTAAATATAATTAGAAAAATATATAAAAAAAATACAAATATAAAAAAATAAAAAAAATTGTAAAAAAATATAATAAAAATTTAAATAAAAATATATTTTAAATAAAAATATATTAAGATAGATAAAATAATTTAAGATATATTTTTAAATTATAATTTATTATTAATAAACAATTTTGTTTTAAAAGATTTGATGCAAGAAAAATGGAAAATATTTTTTTTATTATAAAATTATAATTTTAAAAAATACTTTTTACTGATTTGTGTATATATTTTTTGTAAAAAGTTATATTTTAAAATACAATCAAATAATATAAAATGTATATTTTGTGATTTTGTATATTATAATGATTTATATATATATAAAACAATTTTAAATATTAATAAAAAATCATAATGTAAAAAATAAAATGTTTTTTGTTTTAATAAAAAATGTCAAATATAATTTTTAAATGCAAATAATTTTTGCTAAAGAAATCGTTTAGATAAAGTGCATTGTGCACCTCGTTTCGCATCTAAAACATATTTGTTCCAAACACACTGATCAAATTGCTCAGCTAGTTAACGTATTTTCCTGAATTATATTAACTTAATCAAACTAGTCGCGGCAACTGCAAGTGCAAGCGGCGCTCAACGCAAGTATCTATTATAGCATACCAGCTGCTACCTGGCTATATATATACATATATATATTATGGGATATATAAGATTCAGCATCTCGCTGAAATAACTCTCATTTGAACGCGAGAAACTCGTATGCTTGGTGAACGGCAAAGCTAAATAGAATTTTACAGAAATATATTTTGTTCACTTATAAATTTGAAACGATGTTCGATGCTCTACAGCTTGGCTTAGTTTGGTTTTTTGTGGCTCTCGGTTATGTGGAGAGCCTGAAATATTATACGGAAAAACGTAAGCGATGCTTTTGGTAGTTTATCAAAAAATTGAATTGAATTTTATATTGCTTAAGCACAGCTCCATATATTGAATCGTGTCGTATCAAAGAGCCCGACTTCACGAACTGCTCAACGCATTCCATACAGGGCTTTCTTAACGAGGTCATCAAAGGTGAGCAGCCCACCTCAAAATCAAAGTGCACACACAAATTTCAAGTATTTCTACTCTTACTAACTCCAAGGCATTCCCGAAATCGAGGAGTCTTTCGGACCAATAGATCCCATGAAACAGGATCAGCTGACATTCACACAAGCGGATAGCGATGTTGCATCTATATCGGCCAATCTAACCGATCTGGTAATACGCGGCTTTGGCAAAATGATAGTCAAGGAAAGCAAGTGAGTAGCTCATAACACTCTCAGTGCACATTGCACTCAAGTCAAGACTATATATTATTATCTTGCTAAGGTCGTCTGGAGACGTCGACAGCAAATATTTATCTAGCACCTAAGCAGAGCGTGTTGTTATTTTTAGACTGAACATTACGAATATGTATTCATTGATAGAGTTACGATAGGGATTTCTCAAAGTATGAACTCATAGTTGGGCCTATTGTTTAAAATTTTGTGTAGCCCAAAAGCAACTTCTTAAATAACTTAAGTTATGAAAACTTTTCGTTCGCATTTAGATATATATTAGAACAAAAAAAAATTGGTTTCATAATTAAAAAGAGACATCTTAGCAATTTAATATATTACTAAAAATTTTCTTATATATTTTAATATATCTTAAGCAAATTGAAGCTAAAAAGATAAAGTTTTCTTGCAAGTAATATAGGTTTAGAGTTGAACTGAAACTCTATGAAATACATACCAACATATACATATATATACAAATTCAAAAAAAGTAAAATTCAATTCAACACCTTTCCAGGGTCAACATTAAGGACTTTAGCTGGCAGGATAAAATATATCTGCCACGAATGCGTTTAGACGGCAAATACAAGATGGTCGGAAGTGTCTTAATAATACCGCTGCACGGCTCCGGCAACATATTTATAGAGATTGGTAAATATACATACATATAGATATATAGATATATATATATATATATATATATATATATATAGAAAATATAACAACAAATATATATTATTTTATTTTAGATGATCTTGACATTCTGCTCAAAGCCAAGACGCGACTGTACGAGAAGGGCGGCTACACCTTCTACAATGTGACTGATGTGAGTGTTAAGGTAAAGGTCGGCCATGTGCGTACATATTTGGACAATCTGTTCAATGGGCACAGCAAGGAGGTGGAGCAGACCACGAATCAGTTCTTCAATGACAACTGGAGAGATTTCTTTGAAACATTTCGTCCACTGATTGTGGGCACTCTGGAGCGCACCATGCTCGATCTGCTGAGGAAGATGTTTAGCGTGATGCCGGCCAATTTCTTCGTGGAGGACATACCCAATTCGCTGTTACTTTATGGTCGCAAATCACGTCTGATAGCATAGCATTGTTTACTTATTGAGAGGATTTTAGCTTACAATTAAATAATAAATGCGAAAAGAACTAGGTGCTTAAAACTAATCTAGCGTAGCATGGCACACAGAGCATCCACACAGTTTGGCCACTCAATAGAACCAATCGTACTTGAGATAGTCGCCCTCGTGCTTCAGAGCCGCAATCGATGTGTGACGCACGTGACCCGTACGCGCGAAAATCCGACGATTGCCAACCGGCTGCAACGTTCGGAAGTTGTCCACCAAGGCGCCATCTTGAGTATCCGACAGCTGGCGGAAGCGAGAAATCTGCGAAAGGAATAACAAATCACATTAATCAGGCGCACTGTGTGTGGCTATGCTGCAGGCGAGACTCACCTGCTTGGGCGATATGGGTATGGGATCGGGAAACAGTATCCAGGTGACGGCCTCCGAGCAGGGCGGCGTAGTTAGCGAACCTGCAAACAAAATGCAAATGTTAAAAGCCATTCGCTCATTAACTCACACACTGTCATCCAATCAACAGTCATGCAATTTTACATGACATATGACACGGTGGCAGCCGTAACGCTGCACCCATGCAAAACATGTAGGAATTCTGGGCATTGACATGCAACTGACTGCCTCATACTCGCTCACTTAACAAAGGGAATTCTGATATGTATAAAAAACATTTGTATTGGAACTTATTAGTGAGAGTCTAGCTATATCAGAGTCGGCTATAATCGACTGTCTAATGCTCGCTCGGATGTCACTCAAATTTACTAAAACAATGTCAACATTTGGCGTAAAAAATTAAAATTAATTATGAATCTTTATACAATATTTGGTCACTCTAACTTAGAGCAGCGATTGAGGTGACGCTAATTACCTTAGATAACAAATGTTCATGATGTCTAAACGACAGAAGTACCCGCATAATTTGGTCACCCTAAATTTTTCTTAATATTTATAATAAAATTTGGTCACCCTAATTAATAGAGTTTAAGTTTTAAAGTGGCGCTATTGGCCTTAGCTAATAAATTTAGATGCATTATTGTTATAACTTCGAATTATCAACATAAATTAATGCAACATATGGTCACCCTAGTTTTAAAAATGCGCATTATTGTTATAACTTCGAATTATCAACATAAATTAATGCAACATATGGTCACCCTAGTGTATCCGCTACATATTGCTCGATCAAACACTTGTCACAGCTGAAGCAGTTATTTAGCTATATAAACTATATTTATTACTTCGAGTCTCCCTCACAACTCAATATACGCCTTTCTCACTTCAATGAGCGGGTATTTGAAAATCAATTATACGCCCCGTTAGCCACACTTACCCTTGTACGTATAGAACTTGTCCACATCCACATTCGCTATCAGCGAGGATAGCGAAAATGTGACATTTAGCGCTGCCTCCTGATTGGCATCCGCGATCAGGTGCAGATGACGATTGATGGTAACCAGCCCCTGGCCCTCGTCCTCATCCAGCTAAAGTGCGAATCGAAATTAGCATGGAACTCATTTACATAATGCCAGCACTCACATTGAAAAAGAAGCCAAGCACCGCGGCGCCATCAGGATGGTTGAGCGCCTCGCCAATCGTCGCATATTTCTTGTTGCGATGCACAATATGCATTTCCATGGTGTAGCGAATGTCGTTGATAACGTGCTCGGAGCCACGATTGTTTTTGTCGCCCCAATGGAAGTGCAGACCCTCCACTTCGAACTCGCCGGGCAGCTTAGCGCCTCGCACGTAGGGCAGAAACTCATACTGTTCCTCGCTGCTATTTAGCTTGGGTATGCCAATGGAGACTGTAAAATGCAATTGCGATAATTAATCATTGCAATTATGCTGGCTAAGCTGTAACAGCCACCACTCACCCGTATGCCCATTGTTGATCATCTTCAGCGGATACGGCAGCAGATTGTGATAGCCAATCATATCCACTGCCGGCATGTGGACGGGTATTGTCTGGAATGAGATGAGTTGTTTAAACAATTAACAGTTAATTAAATTGCTCTCTTCAACGGCTACACTGAGCGAAATAGGGCTTCTCAATAAAAATTTATTAATATAAACAAATACTTTTATGCTTTATTACAAACAAATCGAATTGATTTTAATAAATGTATATATAAATTTTATTAAATATTTTTATCATTTAAACTATTTAAAATATTTATTTTCAACAAGTTTAATTTTTTAATAATTACAAAATCTAAATGTATTATTTTTGCTAAATAAAATATAGAAAATATTTAATATTTTTTAGAGTTTTAAATTTATTTCTTATATTTTCAAAATTGTTGTGATGATTAAAATGTTTTTCCTTTAAATATTTAATTCTCAAATATACATATATTTTTGAAGATAAATTAACATTTATATGTTAATTACTATTTTCAAATTTTAAAAATTATTCAAAAATATATTTATTAAAAATTGAACATTATTTTTTTAATATATAAAAAGTATTCAGTTAATGGTCGAACCAAAATATTTTTTTTAATTGCTGTTTTTATTTGCAATCTGTCTTATACCAGACAATAAACAAATTTGTTAACAATAATATGAAAAGAAAATGTTTTTTTTTTAAATTTGATTTGAATTTGAATTTAGTTTAAAACTGAATAATTAGTTCAATAAACTAATTGGAGTATCAGTATATTAAGATCTTTTCCAATGTACTCACATGACTGGAGGTGATGGCTATGGGTGATTGTGTCTTGCCCGCACAGTGTCCATGATGACGCGCCCAACGCCTCTGATTGGGCTCCGAGTAGCCAAACACATGACTATTGACCACTGCAAAGGAGAAACGATGGCAAATTGATAAATGTATGTTAGACGATGAGTCGCACTGCGTGCCTAGTGCTAACCATAACTAACTATATAAAGTAATAGTGCGGAAACATCAGAACCATATCACGTGCGTCGCACATTGAGCTTATCAGTGACATATACGAGCAGTTGTGAATTATTGCAAATAAATGGGAGCGCAAACAAATGTTAACTGTTTGCTGCCTGGCAAATAGATAAATCAATAAATGAATTTTATAAAGAAAGCACAAGGGCACGCTAAACACAATATATATATATATAAGTCTATATAGATATCGACACACACTCATTGATATTGATATTGATATAGATAATGAGCGCAGCAAGTAAATATTTTTCAATAATTTTTGCCACCTGTCTGACTACACGGTACCAACTTAAGTTATACAAGTCAAAAGGAAATTGAGCCCATGATAACTGAAGAGGTTTACCCACATAGAAAGCCAATAGCGAAACTGGCTATTAGCATGCATATCATATGACAATTATATATTTCTACACGTCTCAATTAGCGCGCAGATAGAAAAATATTTACTTTTGCATTTATTCTAATTGGCATTATAGGAATAATCAATTAGAGTAACAAGTAAAAAGTAGATCAAGAAACGATCGTGAGATTGAGGTAACTGATGGGAACTAATGCGAGCACATAATATTATCGACGAGGTTTTACGTCATAATTGAAAAAAACTTACTATAACTTTAATAATAATGATAATACTAATAATACTAATAAGAATAATAATGGAAATGGTAATAAGAATTGAGAGAGTACATGCAGTACGCCAACCCAGTCAGACTGCCGACCTGGGGCATCATAAAGCAATAAAAGTTAATTATATAATAATAAAATATATATCAATAATAAATAATATTCCGTGAATAAATTCAAAACACATAACAATAATTATATCAATAAAAATAAAAAACGTACTGTGCTCACAGCTCACAGCATCGCCTCAACGCTAAAGAGCTTTGGCTGAATTAATGATCTTTCTAGCTAATACCTGAATTAATTAAAGACTAAGAGTTCAACAGCGATCATATGATGATCTCTGCAGTGAACGCCTTAGTTCTTAACTTAGCTAATTAATTGATTATTTAAGAATTAGCACTTGAACATTGCTTTGTTTTCATTTTGCCGAGTGGAACTTCACGATCTGATCACGTAACAGATAAGTCTGTTATATAAGTTGGGTATTCATTAGCTACCAGCCTATTTATATCACTGAAGTGTGCTTCATCAAAATCAATGACAGCAATAAATGTATTAATTGGTATTTCGCAGCTGAAACAGTTTCAAGTGCACGTAAATACCATAAATCTACAGCAATCAAATTTGTAAAGTGTGCCTTCAGAAGTGCCCGGCATTGTGTACTATCATAAGTTGGTAAATATCTAAATATAGCTATCAGAGTCAGGCATATATCTATACTATGATTCACAATAGCCTTGACATTTGGTGACACTCTGTCAGGTCGTACGCCTTTTGTTGAATTATCAAAGATAAGAGCTATCAAATATGTCTGAATCAGTTCCATGTTGGGCGGGAAATTAATACTGATTGGGTTTTGCCGAGCACCTTCAATATGTATGATTATCACTTTTGATTTCCATTGATTTATTTGATGACTGCACTTTTGGTACAATGGTACAACGGCCGAAAATATCACATGACCACAGCCTGTCGCCTGTGGCCTTCCGCCTGCTGCCTGCCGCCTGTTGTTGCCTTTTGTCAGCCTGTCAGCTGATATATAACACTTGGCTATCACAATATTTACCTTGAGACCAGCAGATCACAAGAAAAGCTGCTGGTAGTATTAGCAGGTGCATCGCAGGCGTTTATTGTTAGTATTATTATTGCAAAGTTATATTTCAAGGTTTACTCCGCCTACACTGAGCAGCTCCTGGTCACTGAGCACTGTGAACACCTTGCAACACCTTTGCGCTTGGCCGGTTGGTTCTAAACTGCGCGGACGTTTAACGTTTGAAGCACCTTCACAACTTCCCCAAGCGTCAACGAACTAATTGAAAAATTCGAAAGCTTAAATCCCCGCATATAGCGCGTGCTCCACACTCTCGACACCAGCCATAAAATACAAGTCAGTCTAGGTTAAAGTTGATGACTTAGAGATACCCTGTATCTAGGTTGTCATACTTGTTACTGGGTACGATTTACTTATACTATTTATTATGTACTAGGTACTAGGTACTCTTTGCTGTAATTTTAAGCTATATATATAAGGTTCTGTATTGAAGGTACGACGTAATTAGGTACCAGGTGCGCAGCACTATACGCAAGCTATTAGATACTAGCAACTTGCTTCTAAGGATAAAGTACTAGGTACAAAGTACTATATACAAGCTACTAGGTACTAGGTACTGGGTGCTATGTAGAAGGTACAATGTACTAGGTATAAAGAAGGTACTAGATACTAGGTACTATATACTGGATACTATGTATAAGGTACTAGGTACTATATACTGAATACTATGTACAAGGTACTAGGTACTATATACTGGATACTATGTACAAGGTACTAGGTACAAAGTGCAAGGTAATATGTACAAAGAACTATATACAAGGAACTAGGTGCAAGGTACTATAGACAAGGTACTTACACACTGAACTATACAACACAGTAGGTACTATATGCGATTATAGTTGTACATATATTAATATTGATCTGTTTTACTTTAATTCAGTTATATAATTAGACACAATCATTATACACTTCACAGCACTTTAACGGGGTATACACAAATAAACATTCAAGCAAGTCGCATGCCACTATCGTAATCGCACGAACCACTCCAGACTACGACCGAGCACACGATCGATCCATCGATCGTTTTGCCTCTGGGTATTGAAGTATTGAGCTGTAGTAGCTTTGCTCTAATGCCGTCCGCTTAATGAAATCGAGTTTGAAGTAGCATTACGTGCGCCTAAAATTCACTTCAACTAACTGCAACACACTGCGTAGGCTTAACATTAATTAGAATGAAAAAAGAAAATGAAGATGATTAATCACAATTCGCGCTCGCCTAATGCTGAAAGCAAACACAAGAAGGAAACGGCTTTCAATCATTTGATAATATTTTGTTTTGCATTCCAGCTCTTATATAGGGCTGAGACACACATAATGCCTGGTAAATATTGACAATATCAGAAGAAGAAGAAGAAGAACAAGCAAAACGCAACTAATTATTCGCGTGGCTATCAAATTCGAATAAAACTCGATGAGCCCAAACAAAGTCATTCAGCGAATTTTCACACGTTAAGTGTGAGAGCTTTTCGTATGAGTAAACATAGATACGATAAACTTTATATGACTATGACTAGCAGATGTAAGTTTTGATTACGTATAGATAGAGAACCGAATTCATCTGTTGCAATTTACACTGGAAAACTCCCAACAACAGTTATTTACACGTATTTAATTTAAAAAAAAATACCCATTCTATTATTGGTTCTAAATTCAGCTATGTTTTCATGTACAGACCCAGCGCAGCCAACATAACAAACCAAAGATTTGTGTACAAATTCAAGTGATTCATTTGAAATCGAATTCCAATTGATCAACAATTGTAGAAATTCTGATTTTTCAGTGCATAAACATTTTCATTTACATCTGTATCGGAAGCTCGTGACTTTTATGGATATTGCAAAGAGACGAAATCGTGCTCCACAATTCGAAAACGAATGCATTTGAACCTACATCTACTTATGAGCTCGTACATTATATGATAATATGCCAGACAGTTGGAATTTCAATTGAATTCAGTTCCGAACTCCAATCTAGACCTTGAGCAAAAAACAAAAAACATTTCGAGTAATTAGTAGTTATCCTCACATGCACATAATAGGCGCGATATATAGATAACCTACATTTTATTTATTTTTTTTAATTGAGTTTCATAATTTATAGAAATGACCGCAATCAATTAGAAGTGAAATGTATATGTTGCTTGCTTTAAAGTCTAAATTTGTAGAACATTTTGGAAACGCGTGATAATTGTTAGTTTGTCTTATTTAAATGATTTAACACGAACTCTTAATGACAGCCGAAAAAGAGACGTGTTAATCGGTGGCATATGATGAGCACGTGCTGGAATTGCAGGATATTATACATAATATCGATATAATGGCTTTACCCTAATTAAGCTGGGAAATGTTTGCTTTTCCCTTAAGTCGAACTAAATATGGAACTAGTTAGCTAGCTATCTATTAACAAACAATTAAAGCAGCGAAAAAATTGTTAACTGTGTCAAGATGAAATTCCCATAGGCTTAATAAATATTAAACTCAACTCAACTCAACTCAACTTAAGACTAAAACTAATAAAAACAATACTATAAAAATACATTATTAATTAACACATCCTAAAGTTGTGTTTTCATACTCGTTCAAGCATAGAAGGGAGTATATAGGGTTCTTTCAACCATTTTTCTATTCGATCATCTGTCAGCCGTTAGATGTTCTGTCTTGGCATCCCTCGATTTTTCCGCCTTTTCGTTCGTCCATCCTTCGGTACATTCTACAGTCTGCTGTTCAGTAAATCCGACCATTCGTCTGTCCGTCCTTCCGTTCATCCTTCCTTCCGTTTACCTTTTTTCCTTCTGTAATCGATGAGAAGACTGCCCTGTTGGGCATGCCCTTGACATGACATCGATTTTATACTATATCTGGATTAGACAGAGTTTATCATAGGTTAGACGATTTCCTTCTAGAACATATCTGTATATACAAATCAGTATAGATCTATATAAATTGTCCGCACAGTGGGCGCAGCGCTGGCTCATTGGGAATGCAGAACGTTTCACATCCGAAATGATGATCACATTAAAGCACAATTATTCAAACATTAAAGAAAGCAATAAAGCTGAATTTTACTGATCATGACAATACTTAAGTAATTTGTCTTTTCACTGGCATATATTTAAAAACCTATAAAAATAGAAATAAAAAACAATAACAAAGGCAAGCAAACGGCGCTGAATTTAGCGCATGTGAGCGTTTGGCCCATACAAAACACTTAGCTAGAGATACGCGAAATCTTGATCAGATATAAGCAAATAGTGGGTCATGCGCAGCATATCAAGCAGCCGAAAGGTGCACTATACTTTTATCAATTAAAAACACCTAGATATTGAGATCTATTCATGGCATATATATAATAGACAGATATACAGAGTACTACATGTGCTTCGTTCATGTTCTCAGTCACAATCCACACAGCTGTCGTCATGCGCCAGCGACGTGCCGGGCATGTCCAACAGCTATTTGCGCGGACAGTAGTTGGAGGTTTATTTTTAGACAAAAACTGCCAAAAAGTTGAGCATCGTACATTATACTGTCTTACTTGGCTTAAAAATAATATTTATTTAATATTTATACAGCTTATCAGCGATAATGGATTGGTCGGACATTGACAATGACAACAATTACGCCGTGGCCATATGCTAAAGTATTTAAAATATTACAATTAGCATAGCATACTTTTTATATGCCTAGAGCTATCGCCTAAAAGATGACAGTTAACATATAAAAGATTCTTTATTCAATTTCTCTTAAGTTATCGAATACAAGTTGTAATGTAAAATGAGAAACAGTAATAATATCAAACGTACGCAAATATTTAACTCGAATCAATTTAGGAAGTCTGTGGCTAATAAATTATTAATGTATTATGAGCTTTGGCATATTACATTGGTGTACTTTGGTATAATATTAGTATGATTAAATAATAATAATATAATTTATAAAACTAAGTACACACATACGTGCGATCTGGCAAACATTTAAATATAGTCTATGATACGCGATACAAATTGGATCGGTTTAAGCTAAAATAAAAACAATTTTCAAATTGTTCCTAGTCATGTAAATAGGATACAAATAATCAAATATCTAATTTGAGTTGTAACAATTTACGTAATCCACGAATGTCTCAAAATCAAAAATATAAAAATAATATTCGCTGTCTTTGCACTTATGGTCCTTTCTTTCTCTTCTTTTTTCTTTTTTTGTGATGTATCGATTGTGATGGATCAATTGTGATGTATCGATTGTGATGTATTGATTGTGATGTATAATATATATGTGATGAATTCCCTTGTTGATAAGGCTTAGTGGTCACCTCGCCTTGAATTAATCCTGCTTCTCCTCCTTGGCGGACAAAAAAAGTTTTTGGCACGTAAATGTCACCGAATCTAAAAAGTAAATAAAAATAGATTATTTAGCTGTTAACATGTGAATGCGTAAATAAGGGTTTTAATGTCCAATCGTGGCAATTATCAAGGACAAAGACCCCATGGCACACGCCGTTTATGTACGCACCAATCGCGTGCTGCACCCATGTTGGTTTGTTCTTCCACACGATGCCGACGTAATAGAATGGTATGCCAATTAGCGTTATTAGCAAGCCCATAGCAACCTCAAATGGCGCAACATAAACCGGAACGACTACCAGAAAAGCGCACACAATGACAAACACTGCGGGTATCCACAAAGAAACCTGACCAATGAAAAATATTTATATATTTATATATGGACATTGTCAAAAAATGCAAAAGAAAGCCGAACAACTCACTTTAATTGGACGCTCCATATTGGGGCGCTTGTAGCGAAAGTACAAAACAGCCGACACTGATAGCATAATAAAGAAAGATTCCACAATGCTGGCATAAGTGATAAGCACATACACATCGCTTACAAGCAGCATCACAATTGAGAGCAGACACTGCAGAGCAAACAAGTTCAATTAGTCAACTTCCTTTAATCAACAAGTCGACTTACCAGAAAAGCCAGTGAAGGCAACGGTGTATAACTTTTAACACTGATGTGAGAGAGCACTGCGGGCATATGTCCATTTCGAGCACCCACAAAGCACATACGCGACGAGGTCATAATGTGCACAGAGAGGCCGCCAAAGGCCGATATGGCCACCATAATGGGAATGATCAGGGCGAAGTTGCCCATAATCTTGTTGCCAAAGGTCTACAATGAAATATAAAATAAATGACGTTAATATAATCTCAAGCTCATTATAAGACAGCTGCACTTACCACAGCAATGGCATTGGAGGCGATCATTTCGGGCGCAGATAGCACAGCCAGATAGGCCATATTGGCCAGCACATAAATTCCAGTTACCAAGGGCAACGATATATAAATAGCACGTGGTAAATTGCGATATGGATCACGCAGTTCCTCGGTCATAAAATTCAAGTAATTCCAACCGGCGTATGAGAAAATGCCGGAATAAAATGCCACCGACAGCTTGCCGGGGTCCGTTTCCGTATTCTCAAAAGGTTTATCGAAATTCTCCGTATGACCCATTAGCATCCAAGCCAAGCCAACGATAATGATCAAAACCAAAGCCGCAATTTTGGTGAACATTATAACGTTCTGCATTTTCGTTGTGATCTTCATATAATAGCAGTTCAAGTAGGTCAAAAAACATATGGTAACCGCTGCCAACAGCTGCAGGGCCAGCTTTGGAATCTCACAACCATCGGCGAAAAATGGCTGCAGAACGTAGGAAGCGAATGTAAGACCCATTATAGCATTTGTCGTCGGCCTAAAATAAATAAATAATTAAATAAAAATACTTTCACGTTAATAAATATAACAAACTTATCAAGAAACATGCAAACAAAAGAATTCAAAAGTATTTGTGAGAGCGCAAGTGTTTGCAAATATTTCCATTGTATGTATATGAATGCTAATGTATTATCATCTAGATTGGAATAAATCATAATTTATATACACATATATATGTATGTATAAATAGATTTACCAGTTTGAAGACACATGTCAATTAAGTTTAATTTAAACACAAAAATTTAACAACCTCGAAGGTTGAACCTAGACGTCAAATATATCGAAGCCTATAGATAAAGTTTAGATAGATATAAATAGGTATATATACGTTACAAGAACCTGCACTAAACAAAGAGGTATCAGTGTAATAGGAATAAATATTTTGGCAACAGGAGTAAACAAACATAAATAACGTTTCGCTTTTGTTATAGTACGGAATGCGTATCGTATCGGAAGGAACCAAAATAGCATTGCGATAATAACAATAAAAAGTCGTTAATGCAATCGCATTGCTTATCACAGCAATTCAACGTCTGCACTAATCAAACAAACAGTCTATTGGCAATAATTAACTTGATAAGCAACTGTTTTGCTTTGTGAAAATTAATAGAAACTGAAAGCGTTGACCTTGGCCCAGACCTATGTTAATTGTAAGCTTGGAAATCTCTGTATTTCAATTGACTCGTCAATTGAAAGGTAAGACGCAACAATCACTTGAATTGCGTAAGCCGTTCGTTTAACCCAATGTAAATAGAAAGAAAGAGGTTAAACATAGACTATTCAATGAAATTCATGAATAGAAAAACAAAATACTCACACAAAAATCATCATAGCATCCCATAGATAGAGGAAAGCGGGCAGCGATCCGTATGCCTCGAAGATATAGGCATAATCCCCACCCGACTTGGGTATGGCAGTGCCTAATTCCGCGTAGCATAGAGCACCGACCATGGAGAGCAGGCCGCATAGCACCCAAATGACCAGGGATGTGCCCACAGCATCCACCTCCTGCAGGACGCCCTTGGGCGAGACAAATATGCCCGAGCCAAAGATAATGCCGAGTATAATGGCCACGCCTTCGAGTAGACCCAACTGTTTTTTCATCACAACACGACTACTGTCCGATTCAGCAGATCCCTCTCGCTTGGCATCCTTATCCTTGGTCACAACTGCCACAATGCTGGGCGGATTCTCAGTGTTTGGTGTGAGCAACACCATTTCGCTCGTCGGTGACTGCAAATCATTGGACGCCATTCTCTCAATGTGTTCGTGTGTGTGTGTGCTGAGGAGCGTTAATGCCTGACACGCACGCTACGTTTCGAGTACAAAACTAGACTGACCAAAACGGACTGACTTTCAAATGTGTGTGGTGTGTCCAGCTAATTGATTAAGCAAGCCAGAGGAGTGTCGTCTCGTGTTTCATTTGATTAGAATGAAGTGGCGGTGTGTGTAGGGGGTTGATCTGTATGGGGATGTTAACGTATGTGGTGTGACGTTTGCTGGCTTATCATGAATTTATGGCTTAACTCTCGCATTCACTAATCCGCCGGTCTCTCTTTTCATTCATTGTTTTGCTAACCAGCTTCCTACAACTATATTCGACTCTTTTTAACCAATGCAGCGTCTGTCACACCGTGTTTCTCGCACATGTAATTGACTTTTTGCAAAAAAAAACTAAAATTTGTTAAAAATATTTGTACTTCGTGATTTTAATTAGCTGTAAGATGGTAAATAAAAGTTAGGAACATTAAATAAGATAATTGTTTAGCCAACAACAGCAAGTTTTCATTGAATTAATTACCAATAAGCAATCTGCACGTTTTGCGAAGCACGAAAAGAAACAAAAGAAAATTGTTGATGTATCGATATAGGTATTTGTAGACATCGTATTGTAAACCCGCGAATTTGCTTGGGTAAGTCGTCTTCTTAGCTACCGTAGGAAAACAATACAGTTTAGTGTTTCATATAGCTTTGTTTTTTAGAAAATCATTTACGTTGACGGAGATTAGCTTGTTTGCGTATTTATTAAACGTTAACAATTTCGAGTTGCCGATAACACACTACAAATGTGGTGGAATATCGATACCAACTCTTCGATATATGCAAATAACAGCTGCGCACAATCCATATGAACCATTAAACCTCTAGTATTTAACTTAAGAGATGTTATTTTTTACTGTTAAGATCTATTATAAATATATTTATAATTAAATTAAACTTATTGGATTAATGAATATTGATTGATATGCTTAGATGTTTGTTTCCATTATATTATTGCGCTTTCCAACACTCTCGTTTTGGCGCAAAAATCAAGCAAGTTAAGTATGTGCATGTTGAATTTTAGTCTGGCAACAATTAAGCTTAACACCTGCTGCTCCTGTTTGAAAAATTAAGCAACACTAACATTCAAATTTTGTGAATTGCGCAGCCGCAAATAAAATTGATTAATTTTCTATGGACTAACAGCATATAAAGAAATTGCTGAACTTAAAAGCGAGCGGAGCACGTTGACAGCTTTGTATACAATATTTACATTATTGAATTAAAAATTAAAAATCAAATCAATGCATAACTAACGGCTGTTCATGTCAAACACAACGAGCTTAAATGTATTTAAGAGGAACATATGGAGACATGGACACAGACGATGGACAGAGCAATGCTAGTAATAGCAATAGCAACACCAACATTGTCAATGTCAATCAATACGACTATATGTTTGGCAAGCATATGGAAAACTATAATGTGGAGGTAAGCCAAAAGATAATCCGAGAATTGACAACAGTTTGAAGTCCTCTCTTTTGCAGACGTCAGCGGTGCATCGGAAGCTTCAGAGTAAAATTGAAGCATTGCGCATTTTGCGCCAGGAGCTGGAACAGTTTCGCGTCGAACGTGATCAGTACAAATTGATGGCTGAGACGCTGCAGTTGCGTTACTCAGCCATGAAGCGAAATAGTGAACTGTTAGCCGGGAATGGCAATGCGTGCGGCGCCTTAAGTCACAATTCGAGTCTTGCAGCGCTGCTGCACGAGACGCGCGAATTGAATCTCAAGCTAAACACCGAGGTGGAGGCGCTGAAGCAGCGACTAAGCGAACTGCAGGGCGACATGGAGCTGTTACGTGAGAGGGAGTCCAATAGCAAATCCCGATTGCAGACTCTGCTGAACGAACACGCGGCTCACAACAAGGAGGGGCTGCAATGGAAACGGGAGCGCGCAAATTTCATTTGCCATCTGGAGAATCTGAAAAAGAAGAACGCACAATTAGCATATGATCTCAAGGGTATTATTGATGAGAAGGAAGAACTAATAACGGAGCGGGATGCTTACAAGTGCAAGGCGCACAGGCTTAACCATGAACTCTTGGTGGCCCTTAAGGCCAATAAAATGCATCCAAAGGTGAGCCCAATACATATGTAAAGAGAATTCATATAATTATCAAGTTTTTCAGTTGCTCGACATTGATGGCGTGCTGCTAGAGAACAAGTACCTACACGAACGTGTGAAGATTCAGGAGAGCGAGCTCGAACTGACTAAGCAGTCAGTCAGCAAATATAAGGTAAGCTTAGCAGCTTTTGTAGACCATATGCCATCTGTTTGTTTCAATGATAAACTTGGCAAACTTACCATATAGTAGGCTATAAATAAAAGCTAGCTGCTCTTTGTTCAGCTGCCTAAATAACAGAGCGACTTAGGCAACCCAAGCTTAGAGTCCTCATTCGACTCTGATTAAATTAATATTACCTTACTTATATGCATGATATGTTTTACATATTGCAACATCGACGTATGCTTAGACCATGCTGGAGGCCAAACGTAAAAAGGGCATCGTGAAGCTCGGTGGCAGCACAAATGATGAAACCATATTGAGTCCTCGGCAAGGTGAGTTTTGCTTAATCTCTATTTTTCATGATTTCTAAATATTTGATTTTATAGTTAAAACTATACTGGAGAGCGGCATTGATTTGCCTGGCAAAACAGAGACCATACACGATCTGAAATCCTTGTGCTTGGCGCTGTTGGATAACCTGAACGATAAAAACTTGGCATTGACGCACCAGAAGCGCACCAACAAGTTGGTCATAAAAACACAATACTCCGAAATTCAATTAAATTAAATTCCCTTTTAGAATACTCGCTAGCAAAATGGCAGAGCTAGAACAACGGTGGCAGCAACTGCTTAGCGGAGACTCCGAGAATACCACATTGGAGGATGTGAACGAGGAGGAGGAAGAGGAACTGGGCTATGCGCCATCGCAGCTGCTGCTCAATGGCTATTGTGCAGCCATGGTCGATGATGTGGGTCCTGATGAAACGGAAACAACAGCAGTCAAAACAGCTGAAACCACAAACACACATTTATCCGAGCCATATGATACGAGGTCAGCGGGAGTGCTACAGTCTGATGATGGCATGTCCTCGCTATCCTCAGAGTCGGCCGACTCCTCTGTTTATGGCATAGACGTACGACTGAATGAGCTAGCGATCAATACATATAAATCGACGTCGCCAACAACAGATTCCGGCAATTATAATGGCACACCGCGCGTGTCCAGCGCTGTCGTTAGAGAACGTAAGGAGGATCTCAAAGATTTGCCTCCACATTTGGCTGATTTAGTGCAGAAAGCACTTAACGAATTGGATATGAGGGACTACGAGGCGATGGTCACAATACGCGCTGAGAACGCTGCAAAAATGCATTAGTTGTAAACTAGTTGAATGTTATGTGTAATGCTTTCATGCATACCTATTCATAATAAGCATATCGTGCTTATGCCGTTATATACAAAACGAATTATAAACTACATATATTTATCTATTGTTTACAGCGTACAATAAACAAATGTGTGCGAAAAAAACATTTCTATTTATTTGATTTTCAAATGTGAATTCCGTTAATTTTAGTTGAGTTTTACAGCACAGTTGACTGGCATTTATACGTTGCACAACACTGCGCGGCTACTATAGTATACATTTTCTGATAAGAAATTTGTAGCTGTTGCAAATGTTATTTTCTTTTCATTTATTTTTGAATTAAAAATGCCTTAAAACTAAATACTGTTTGCGCAAGCCGTGTGAATTCAAGTGCCATTAAAATATAAAAATGGAGCGCCAATCGAAAGCAAACGAAAAAGGCGTAAAAAGCGCAGCGTTTACTAAGCCAACCGTCTGAGCCAACTAATTAGCCATAAAAAAACAAAAAAAAAATACAACACAAAATCGAATCAGACAGAAAGCCAGTCGTAGGACTTTATTAATGATGTCCAACGATGTCCAAGTAGCGCGCGTTGCCAAGATTGGTGCCGAGCTGGCTCGCCGACAGCAGCAGAGGGATATCAAAGCCATATCAAAGGGCGGCGGCGGAGGTGTCATGGGCGATGACATAGAATTCGTCTTTGGCAGCATATCACCGCGAGGCGGCGGTCCCAGTGCTGCTCTAGGGCAGCACAGGCATATTGTGGAGTGCTTTGAGCTGGACTCGCCGGAGCACACACAGCGGGACACAAACGAAAGCGACAATAACATCTCCAGCTGCTCGACCCTCGACATTGTCAACAAAGTAAGTGTCCGTTACGCATACAAACGCACGTTGTCAACAAAGTAAATACCGTTACATAGCTACACAGACAGGCACGCACACAGGGATACATACAAACACATTACCCCAGCAAAGTGACCGTTACATAGCTATGTAGACAAACGCGCACAGACACACATACATACATACGCTGTCACATTGTCAACAAATTGTAAGTGACCGTTACATAGCTACGCAGGCACACAATATACACATATACAGATGTCTATGTGACCTATGTGTGTGTATGTGTGCCATTTTGACACTGCGCAGCTGCGTTGCAAGACGCAGGGTCAAGCTGCAAGACGAAGTGCAGCAACAACGACGACGTAATCGCTAAAGAAAATTAGTTTATTTTCTTTTTTTTAATTTGGTCATGATATCGGAAGAACTGCTGCCGCGCAGCCTGAGCTGCCTGTGCTGCAGTGACACGCCCCTGGGCGGCAACAGTAGTGGCCCCGGGGGTGGGGGATTCTTCCAACATGCCGAGAAGCGACGCAGTTGGGAATATACGCTAATGGCTCAGCCAATGTCCCGACGACCAATCAATGTGAAAACTAAACTCAGCCTTATTCCGTGTCTCAGCTAATCTCTCGCTTCTTCTCTGGCAGGTGGAACAGTTGTCCGTGCAACAACTGGAGAATCGAGTGCGTGAGCTATCGCAGCGCCTGCAACAGGCTGAGCGCCAGCTCGCTGAGAGCAATGTGGAGCGTGATATGTGCCACAAGCGCCTGGAGGTGGTAAGCCAAGCACACGAATGCCGTATCACCGAGATGCACTGCGTCATTGCGGAGCTGAGCAAGAAATTGCGCAACAAACAGGAGCATATCATAATGGAAGAGCTGGAGCCGGAGGGCGAGGGCAGTGGTGAGTCCAAAGAGTTCCATCCAATAATAACAGCTCTACTAGTATCTCCATTCAACAGAGGTCAGCTATCAGGAGGGTTCCATATATAACTCGGAACTAAATCTAACCAATGCAGAGGGCGAGTGTCAAACGGAACCATTGGAAGATTTTGAAGGCGCATGTTCCAGCGCGGAGAATGTGCACGTCAAGCAACAGGAAGTCATTAACAAGGGACAGCTGGAGGCGTTGCAGGAGGAGGTGCTGCATCTGCGTGCACAGATAGCACTGCTACAGGCCGAAATGGCCACCAAGGACAAGGACTCGGCTGTCGTAGAGGATCAACCGAATGTCATATACTTTGCCTGCGATATGGAGGCCAATGAGAATGGCAACCAACTCAATGACTTGAATGGTTAGTCTAGACAACAACTAGAGAATCCATAAACTAAAAGAACCTAATCCTTGCAGCCTGCGTATCCGTGACCAGTCCACAGAAGTGCGTCAAAATGGCCGAGCGTGTGAAGCTGCGTTGCGCCAGCAAAAGTGAGTCGCAGTTGGATTCGTCGCCCGACCAAGAGAAAGACCACACGGAGCTCAGCAATGAGGTAAACTAGCAGCTAGCTGCATCTGTTCCAAACACACACGCTCAACCTACTGACTCCCTCTCCCTGCAGGACATCAATCTTGTCGAGCACTTGGTTTGCAAGCAAAACACGCTAATGGATAGTTTGATGGCGCCTTTGCAACTGGAGCTGGAACGAGTCCAGCGCAAAATGGAGCAATTAAAGGTGCGCAATACCTTGCTGTCACTCACCTTGGACGAGTCCAAGGAGCACACCGAGCATCTGTATCTGCTCTGCGGCAAATACGAATCGAATGCTGTGGCACTGCAGCTGGCTCTCAATTGCAGCGATCGCGCCATCGAGGCATATGATGTGATGCTGGCGTTGCTGGAGAGCAGGTGGGTATATCACATGATGGGATTGACTGATTGATTGATTATTTGCTTGTTCCTTGATCTAGGCTGGCCTTACTTAGCGATAAGTCAACTGCCGCCGAGGAGAGTCGTCGTGCTGTGGAAACGGTGGCACATCATCTGCTGGCGCGACTGGAGAGCGAGAAGGATCTGTGCGAGAATAGCCTCGGTCCCTGGCAGCACAACATGAATCTGGGCGCAGAAAATGTGACCAAGCACAAGCAGCATTGGAGCAGCGACGATGACAATCGACTGCGTTGTCATGTCTCAAAGCTGAAGGGTCGCCGCGCGGTCGTGCAGCAGACCATCGTCAATCTGGAGTCGCCATTCAGCGATGTGTTTGAGAAGAAGCGCTTGGCCTTGGAGAAAGATCAGGAGCTGGACAAGGAGAAGCAATCCCCAATGGATCTGGAGACGGCTGTCATTATGCAAGAACTGCTGGACCTACGCGAACAGAACCAACAGCTGAAGGCCAAAAAGGAGGAGGCTGAGCACGAGCAGCAGTACGCGAACGAGCGTGTGAGCATTCTCCATGAGGCTTTAAAACAATTGCAGGCCAGCAATCGGGTGTCCTACTCGGAAGCGGAGCATGCGGCACTAACCGAGCAGCAGCTGGTCGAGGCGCTTAGCCGCGAAACGGAGCTGAAGAGTCGCATTCAAACCCTGCTGAACATCAATGCCACACACAAGGCCAACGACGAGAGGTGCGAGCAAATGCATCAGAATTTTCGACAATTGCAAAAGTCCAATGAGTAAGAGAGCGTCAAAGTTATCCACTGCATAGATTTAACCCAGACTATTCTTTCTTTGCAGCAATCTGAGCCAGCTGCTGGAGCAGAGCAAACGCAAATATCAGATGCGCATGAAGAAACTAGAGCAGAAGGTGGCAGACATGCGGCTGGAGCAGGAACAGCAGCTGCAGCAGCGGCATAGATTGCAACACTCGGAACATGTTCCTGAGACAACGCTGTAGATGTTGACAGCGAATCCTTTAACTGTTTGCTTGGCTTTTTGGTTATTGAATGCACTGGAGCGATGAAGCGCACACGCCCACCACATATCCTGCTAAACGCTATGGCTCCTTTATATGCTCCTCCTTTTTTGATCCGCTGCTGCTGTTGCTCCCACCTCGCGCTCCTGGGCGAGCCATAAGCCATAAATAGTATCACAAATGTGCCATACACGACTACAACTGAGGACAGCAAACGGAAGCTGTATTAACTACAATTACATAATCTTGAATCTAGACTAGGTGGAGCTAACCACAAACACACTCACACGAATCCTATATTTATACAAAGTATTCGCATTTTGCTTGTTATACGACTCAAAAATATATATATATATGTATGTATATTAATTCAAATTGTACAAATTATAGTAAACAAAAACTACAGCCAGACTATGAATCATTTGACCCCTCATCCTCGTCTCGATTAGTATCCGCTGCAGCAGGAGGATCACCGTTCTCCTCCTCCTCCTCTTCCTCCTGCTGCTCCTCTACATCTTCATTGCTATCATGGCCATTGCTCTCCTCCTTTGATGCATGGCCATTTGTTTGCTCTGTGTCAACGCTAGGTGGCGCAAGCTTTTCTAGTTGCTCGCGCGCCGCTTTTATGACTTTTTCTACCTCAACGCATTCGGTTTCAATTTCATAGTTTTTCGATACGAGTAGGACCCAGTGTGCCTCTAGAGCGCGCAACTTTTCACCAGCCTGTGTTTGTGCCTGTTTACGCTGCCAGTTAATGTCCTGCATGTCCTTTTTTAGTTGTTGCAGCTGTAGCTGAGCTTTGGCTTGCATGGCTGTGAATACTTCCAGATACGATTTCCAGGCTTCGGTGCCGTAATCCAGCATTAGCTCAAGATTTAACGAACGCACCCATTGATGTTCCAGCTGGGCCATGGAGTTCTCAATCGATTCTTGCCAGGCAGACACCTCAGACAGCTTGCCTGAGGGTGGAGGCGGTAATTCGTAACGCTTCATGGACAGCGTTTCCATGGGCTGGCGATTCTGTATCCGCTCAAATTCATTGATCATCAGTGGTGTCTCGAATGGAGTAGTTGCTGGCAGTGGCAGATGATCCAGATAGTTCTTGGTGGGCCTATAGCGCCGGCATTCCTCCTCGACCATGGCCAGCGCCTGAAATGGAATAAAAATTGTTAGCATAACAAAAACGAGAGTATAGATCACCTTAAATACCGATTCTCTGACGCCCACATCATCATAGCCATGATCTATGTAAGGCAAAGCATCAACAATAACTTCTTCAGCCATTTATTTTTAGTAACTAAATTATTTTCGGCAAAAACGAACCACACAATTAATTGTTTATATTTATTTAGTGTTCTAAAACGTTAGTTATATTCGATAGGCATACATCGGAATTACAACACTTTTTAATTTGACAGCCATGTTGTTAGAAATGCAACCGTGTACCCTGAAAACCGATTGGCAGCACTTTTAGGCCGTTTCCGGCAGCTCTCTTTCTTTCTTCGTTCTTCTTATTAAATAGAGGACGGCATCTGCGTTTGCAGAAAAATTAAAACCATTTATTGGGATTAAAAATCAGCGAAAATGGTGAGAAAGTGTGTTTGAGTGTCGTCCGTGCCACCGTATACTGCAAAAGCTGTGATTTTACAGAGTTTAAACGCGTAAAACATTAACAAATATGCTCCAAAACTTCGTCCTAACCTCCACGTGTTAGCAGTGTGCGTCGGCCGCGCGACTATTGTGATTCTCAATTTAACATAAATAATTTTTAATGTTTGCAGAGCTTAGGCAACGCTAGGCCATTGGTCTCCGTGTACACGGAAAAGAATGAGGCTGTTAAGGAGAAGAACATCTGCCTGCCAGCCGTTTTCAAGGCACCCATCCGTCCGGATGTGGTTAATGAAGTGCACCAGCTGATGCGCCGCAACAACCGTCAGGCTTATGCCGTCAGCGAGCTAGCTGGTAAGTGCATTTGTTTGTAAACAAACTAAAACCAGTTTATTAATTTCATCACACCTTCAGGTCACCAGACTTCTGCCGAGTCCTGGGGTACTGGACGTGCTGTTGCACGTATTCCCCGTGTCCGTGGTGGCGGTACTCATCGCTCCGGTCAGGGTGCCTTCGGCAACATGTGCCGTGGTGGTCGCATGTTCGCACCAACCAAGACCTTCCGTCGCTGGCACCGCAAGGTGAATGTGAACCAGCGTCGTTATGCTCTGGTGTCGGCTATCGCCGCCTCCGGTGTGCCAGCATTGGTACAGTCCAAGGGACACGTTATCGATGGCGTCTCTGAGTTCCCATTGGTTGTCTCCGATGAGGTGCAGAAGCTGCAGAAAACCAAGCAGGCTGTCGTCTTCTTGCGTCGCCTGAAGGTCTGGGCAGATATCCAGAAGGTGTGTATTCAATATAATTGGCAATCGTTTTGGCTTATACTCAGCAACGTATACACCAGTAGAATGCTATATATTTTGTATTCTGCATATTTGCTCCTTTGAGCATAATGCGTTGCTAGATAAAATGCCCTCCTAGGCGTTACGATTGTAGCCCGATTCAAAGCTACAACCGTTTGCAGTGGAGGGCAACAGCTGCAGTAATTGTCATTAAAACATTTATACTAATTATGTAAAATTATTTACAGGTGTACAAGTCGCAGCGCTTCCGTGCTGGCCGTGGTACCATGCGCGACCGTCGCCGCATTGCCCGTCGCGGTCCTCTGGTTGTCTACCACAAGGATGAGGGTCTGCGCAAGGCTTTCCGTAACATCCCCGGAATCGAGACCATCAGTGTTGATAAACTGAACTTGCTGAAACTGGCTCCAGGCGGTCATGTTGGTCGTTTTGTCATCTGGACCGAGTCGGCATTCAGTCGCCTGAACGATCTGTTCGGCACCTGGAAGAAGCCATCCACTCTGAAGAAGGGCTACAATCTGCCCCAGCCCAAGATGGCCAACACAGATCTGTCGCGCCTCTTGAAATCTGAGGAGATCCGCAAGGTGGTGCGTGATCCACGCAAGCATGTGTTCCGTCGTGTGCGCCGCCTCAATCCTCTGTCCAACGTACGTCAACTGATCAAGTTGAATCCATATGCTGAGGTCCTCAAGCGTCGTGCCGCCCTGGCCGCTGAGAAGCGTACCGTGGCCAAGGTTTTGGCTAAGGCCAAGAAGCAGAACGTCGAGCTGGCTAAGTCGCATTTCGCAAACGTCGCCACAAAGGCTGCTGCCAACCGCGCTAAGCTGTTGGCCGCCCGCAAGAAGAAGGTTGCCGCTAAGAAGCCCGCGGCCAAGAAGTAAACAATTACTTTCCACATAATAGCCGACTACAAAACTCTTTTTATATAATAAATAACAAAAGTTGTATGAATTTTATTCATAATACAGTGCGAAAGTAATATCTTATTAAACTATTTAGTCTTAGGCCATTTCAATTGTTGCTCTTTTTGGTGCCGCGTGTTTACCGCTCGCTCGCTCTCTTTTGCAATGATTCTGTTTTAAAGAGAATGTTGGCTGTGTTATCTTGGAAAGCTACCTAATCTTAGTCCACCAGTCCATGTGCAGCTCTCGTTTTGTCTCGCTCTCACGATGCTTCTTTTTCAAAGAGAGTATTCGCCGTAGTGCCTCTCTTGCTATTCTCTCCCACCAGCTGATAACATTCTGTCAGTAGTTGCCTATCGATGCTCTTATCGGCAAAACTTGTGTCACTCGTGAATCGCTGCTGCTGGTGATGATGATCTTCGGCTTGCGCTAAGTTTATATATTTGTTATATGTTGTTTTTTATGTGTGTCCACTTTTGTTGTCACACGTTAATTGACATTTAATTAAAGAGCAACGATTGCGAGCGTGTTTATTCCGAATTGCGCGCTCGAGCCGAGCAGACGTATCATTTGCGCGTTCTGTGCGCTACCTTTGCAAAAACGAAAGTAAAAAAAAAAAAAACAAAGAATAAAAATCCATTCACCAATAACAAAGGAAGCCGGCAACAACGACAAATACGTTGCAATTGGCACACACAAGGAAGGGAATAAGAAGTGTCTGTGCCAAAATAGAACAAAAACAATTTTTCTGTTTTTTATTCCACATTGAAAAATAAAAACAAATATAAAAAAAAGTAAATAGCGAAAATCAAAGAACGATAATAAAGCGTGTATTATCAAGATTGTTCCGAATAAAACAAAATTGAAATAAATCAAAACGCGCAGAATCCAAATCATACGATACTTTAATAAAAATCATAACGTTGTCTCGCGAATTACGGGTCGCGACATCGACGATGATGTCTGGTTATGTAGAGTAGAACGCAATATATGGCTATAGCACACAAACACACAAGGGATAGACGAACGGAGAGGGACGCATCTGTATACAGCTGCACGTAAACACTGACAGACATAGTGAGAGCAGGAGACGCTCTTTCCATGCGCGTCGTATTTTTCCGCAAAGATTGCGGACAGTCAAGGCAAAGTACATATCAGCCAGCAATATCAACTTTATATTAGTGCTGCTACTACTGGGTGTCATCATAATTGCGGGCCACCATTACAAGAGGCCACGCACTTTGGAAGCAAAAGCTTGAACATTTTACTTTGTTCATCATGTTGACGACCGTTTTAAACTTTGCCCAATGTGTGGCGGAAATTTCCTTGTTAGGCGGCATCGAAATCGCCTCAGTTGCGCTTATTATCTACTACGTTTTTGCTAAAACTAGGTAAGTACAACTATCGAAGGGCATGGGAAACCAGAGAAATCATCTGGCGATGGCGTCGCCAGTGGTTCTGCCGGCAACAATAGCCAACAGCATCTGTCAAGTTCAATTAATGACGCCGACAAACAGCTGTACATACATATAAAACACATACAAATGCAGGCAAACATATTCACACACACAGAGCCATACATGCATGTACTTAAATACAGTAGTGGCTACCATATTGATATGGTTCTGTTCAAGCTGTGATTACATATACAAAGAGTATTTGTACTATGAAAATGAAAACTGCATTTATGCATACTAGCTTTGTGCGATGAATACGATTATACGGGCTTTATGCAATCTGTATTTTATTAAGCTCTGAAAGAGCTGTTCTTATCTGTAATAAGATAAAAATCAAAACAAATACTCACAAGATATATTTATATTTCTTAAATACATGGTATTTCTATGCAAATAAATCGCAGCACGTCAATTGCGTAAAATCTCTTATCTTTAGTTCTCGTTCACTCATTCGATTAAAAAGTGGTTCGATAAACTAATTTGTCTAGGTTTTTTAAAATTACAAAGTAGCAATCTAAGAGAAAAAAGCTTTGCTTGACAAACGAATGCAAATTTTTATATACTGCAATACGTTTACTTATGCATATATTTATATGTTTGTTGTATTTATATAAATTGGTTCTCAAAAGCTTCGTTATATTTAGACACACACACCTACACGTATACAAAGAAAACACTTAAGAATCGCGTAGTAAACGATCATACTGTGTTGTTGCTGGAACGTTTAAGTTATGCAGCACATTCGCAACGAGCTTTTAAATTTGGTTCACCAAATCTGCGTGTCCAAACATGTCGTTTGGCTCGTGTAACGCTTTGCGCTTATCGAGCACGTGCTCCAAAGGAAGAGCAGCCGATAGTCAATATGTTGGTATGCATAAGGATGCACAAAGGTCATTTGCATGGCTAGCATTCACTCGCTGCTGACGCAACATTCAATGTATTTGTATTTGTTTTTGCATGCACTCGCACCTGCAGTCGCTCTTTACCTCCCACAACACCGCTCTTGCGCACGATCATTCTCTTCTGACTGTTGTTCCGATAAGCGTAGCAGCTCGATTGATCGTTTGGCAACAATTATCATAATTAAAAATCTTTCTATATGTATGTATGTATGTATGTAGGTGTGCGTGTGTTCGGTAAATATTAAATGACCACCCAATTAACTGATTAAGATTTTGCTATTGTTATTTCGAGTGCACCCCCTTAATCGGCTCATAAGGCTAATCTCAATCAGCTCCTTCATACCAGTGCAAAGCTCAATTCATAATTTGAGCTGCTTCACTTGAGCCAAGAAGAAAGTACAATAGCGATAATGACTTTGAAATAGCAACCAATAAACGATGAACACACAATAAACAAAATGATTTTGCGTATGCCCAAAGACATACAAATAAACAGACAATAATTCCTCTCTAATAAACCGATTCCTGTTTATAGCTCTTACCTATTTTTTATTTCCTTATTTTGTATTTACAAAGTTGGCATTTAAAGAATTTAATTTTCAATATAAGGAGCTTTAGAATCCAAATCGACATATGTATTGAAAATGGCGTTTCTAGGTCTTAAGTAATTCTAATCTCATACAGCTCTTATTCTGTACTATCATATAATACGTAAATGTACATACGTACATTCTTATATATAAATAAATATATATTTATTTATATAAATTTATATACATACATCCTATACATATATACATTCATATGCTTATTTGTTCATATATAGTTTTTACCACTTGAGCTAAATCTTGAAACGAAGAAAAAACTTTATATAACACGAGTAACTGCAACAAATAAATTCATTATTTATTAAACATTTGATTTAATATAGAAGTATAATAGTATTAGCTTGAATACTTAAAAAAATCAATAAGATGTAGACTTCATAAGGTATTAAACATCTAATTTTATAGAGTAGCAGAGCATAAGGTGAGAATTTAAATGGCTGTGCTTTCTTAGCTGAAACACGAAAATTTGATTTTTAGACTTTAGATATACTCTTTTTATTGTGAACAAATTAAATGTTTACGTGCTTTTGGACTTATTTCTAAAGTCTCGCTTCATAGACTTCTTAATCTTAGAACGTTGGGATATTGTTAAGGTTGCCTGAGAGAGGAGCTTATCAAATTTCTCCGTGTGGACGCTTTCGTTCATGTCAGCCTCATCAGTGAGTGTGGTGTCGTCTGTGGCGCTGAATGAGGGCGTACGTGGGCGGCACGACCTGTGCGACGAGCTCGAGATTTCGGAAGAACTGTAGCTTGCATTGCCAAGGCGCTTTTTGTCATTCCGTTCGTAGTAATCGATGTAGTTACGTAACTCGGCGATGCGTCGCATTTCGTTGGTATTTTGCTCTCGCAATTGTGCCTCCAGTTTTAGGTAGCCCTGCAGCTTAAGTTTTTTCTTCGGGAGCTGAGCCTGATTGTTATAGTAGTGTGCATAGTAAGAGTTACGCTGATCACTTTGGAATTGGCTAATGCTCCGATACATTTTCAAAAAAATGCTGGGATTCGTAAAGTAATTGGCGGCATGGGTTGGCATTGAGGTTGTAATGGCAACGCTGTGAAAGCTGCGCTTACAGACAGGACACTTTCGATCGCCATTGCTTGCATTGGGCAAGCAGCTCGCACAGATTATATGATGGCAGCGAGCAAGTTGAAATTCGGAACTGGGAACAGCCTCCCGTTTTTGAAAGCAATTATTGCAATGCACAGGAAACATTTTAAGCATATTTTCACAATTAACGGTTTCTCATTTAACTATCTGGCAACATAGTGTCGATAGTCTAGTCGATAGTCGCCAGATGATGAACGTCCTTGCCACTTTGTTGCTCTTACAAATACTTTGTTGTATGAGTGTATTAATATACAGTCAAATTCGCTTTGCACACAATTCAATTAGCTTTGTTTTTGTGGACAACTAATTACTTATCAGGCAAACGAACATGTATGTATATAATCGAGGTTAGTGAACTTTATAATACGTATTTTTATATGTATATAGCAGCAAATTGGACTACAGACTATATGAGGTGCTTTCAGTGGGACAATCGTACATTTTATTGCGCACTATTGATTATGATAGCAGTAACTATTTATTAATTTGAACACAAGTGGCAGTAGCCAAGTATCATAATCGGTTTTTAACTAATATACATACGATAATCTAAATGTATTATTTAAATTTTTTTGTTTACAGAGCACCCGCTATTATCGCCCGTTTATTTCCCAATTTAAATCTAAGCTATCGTTCATCGCTGGGAAAGTTCAACACCATTGGCAATGAGATTCTATTTACTCTCCGTCCATCAAATGTAAGTTTACAAAGCCTATCAAATCGCATGTGCATTCATTAACCTTAGAACACGTAACAAAAACCATGCGTACATATTGTGTGACAGTGAAAAGCTAGCTGATAAGCTTGCGTTCATTCAGTAAATCACACAGCGTACACATGCAAACATTACATGTAGTGCTATTCGAAAATTTTGTGGAGTTGCCATCTTTGTTGTTGTCCGAATCGATAGATTTGCCAATCGACATACATTAAAAAAGCTAGACAAAAGCTATCGCTCGGCGCATTCGTTTGCCGGCGCTTTATTGAATGAAATGTGAATTTTTAAGAGAAAAACAAAGTACATACATATATAAAAACGAATTTGTTAGTTTTAAATATAATGCATGGGTTTAAGGCGCGTGGCTGGTTTGAGGTAAGTTGGGTTCTTTATTCGAATAAGCAAATAGGTTCGTGTATTACGTATTTTTGCATTTGCGCGGGCGAATTGCATCACATGCTTACATACATATATTCATTAAAATTTGACTTTATTTGCTTATGCAGGAACCGAAACCGCAAAACTTTTTGGAGCATGGCATCGGCACGCGAAATATGTTACAGCTAACGCCTCATGCCGGACTAAAACCGTTCAAAAGTGTTTTCGACTGGGGCAATGTATTGCCCTATGTGGCTCAGGTGGTGCGAAGCGAGAAATTTGATTACCGCCAGGTGAGCGCATGTTCTAAATAACAATTTTAATTAACCCCTCACCTTTGGTGTTCCATAGGTTACAGAAATTGTGCACAACGATGTCGTTTTCAAGCATGCCATTAAGCAGGCAGCTGAGCAAACGCTACGTGAACAACGCTATGCCAAAAATGGACATCGACTGCTCGCTCGCAGCATTAGCGGCGATAAAGATGAGGAGGAGGACGCCAAGGAGGGTATATCGTATCAAAAAATACTGCATAAGCAAGAGCAACGCGCTGTCACAATACTCAAGGAAATGGGTTCCACTTTAAATAATACCTTGCTTGCCATAACCTCGTGGCTGCTCTATAAACTCCTGCCCTGCTTCCTATCTGGGGTTGTGACAAATACGAAACAAATCGAAATGTTGCAGAATGCCTCGAAGCGTTCGCCAGACACACCGCTAATCTTTGTCCCATTGCATCGCAGTCATCTGGACTATATAATGGTGACCTTCATACTGACCAACAATGATATTCGAAGTCCACTTGTAGCCGCTGGAAACAATCTCCAGATACCAGTTTTTGGTACGCTGTTGCGTGGCTTGGGTGCGTTCTTTATCAAGCGCAAAATCGACCCCGTCGAGGGCAAGAAAGATGTTCTTTATCGTGCAGCTCTACATTTGTATATAACGCACGCCCTCAAACAGGGTCACAACGTTGAGTTTTTTATCGAGGGCGGACGAACGCGTACGGGCAAGCCTTGCATGCCCAAGGGCGGCATATTATCTGTGATTGTGAATGCCTTCATGGATGGCAGCATTCCGGACGCCCTGCTGGTGCCCGTCTCTGTTAACTACGAGCGTCTGGTCGACGGTAATTTTGTGCGTGAACAGAAGGGCGAGAAAAAGGTGCCTGAATCATTCAGGAAGGCTATTTCGGGCATCTGGAAAGCCCTCAACTCTAACTATGGACTGATGCGCATCGATTTCAACGAGCCCTATTCAATACGCGAACTCGTCAACTCGTACAATAAAATTGCACGTGAAGATGGAAACTCAAAGGTGTACAAACCAGCATCCAGGTAATAAATATCCCGAATTCAATGGAAATGTGCATATGTATTTCATACATGTTTTCCTCCTATTGCAGAACCCTGCAACATAATCAGTCGACGTCCTCGTTGTACGGTACCGATGTAGTCTGTGAGGAACATCGCAATCTTATCGAAAGCATCTCACGGCAGGTAGTTTTTGATTGTGCTGAAGCCACGTCGGTGATGTCTACCAATGCTTTGGCCTTTTTGCTGCTCACACGCTTTCGCAATGGCGCCGAGGAGCAGTTAATTGCTGCTGCGCTTGATGATTTGCGTAATACGCTGACTGGCTGCAAGGATTTGGGCTTTTCAGGCGAATCTGCGCACATTGTGGCGTATGCCTGTGATCTGCTGGGCACAGGTAGGTCTTAATCGTGCCCATAATCTTATATATTTACTTATGTACATTGAACATTTTTATAGATCTGGTAACACGCACACGCGACGAGAATGGCCGCATGTTTATACGTGCCGTGCCCTCTGTGGAAAGCTTCATTGAACTGTCGTACTATTCCAACGTGTTAACGCCTCATTTTGCACTCAGTTCAATTTTGTTGACCACATTTCATTCGCTCGTGCCAGAGGCCAAAGATGATACTAGCGAAACAACAGGTGTTTCGCAAAAAAAACTAATTGAGACTGCACTTGAAAATTGTCTTGTCTATCGTTACGAATTTATACTAAACAAGCCAACGCAAGTATTGGAAAGTATGCTGCACAAACAACTAGACGAGCTGCTTATCAATGGTTGCCTGCGCCGAAATGAGGTAACGAATTCTAATATATTTTTTTATATACATATATTTTATATTCCTAATGATTATATGTACAGGTTGATGATTCGGGTCATAATGCAGAGACAAGACGGATGGCTCGTAAATTGGCCTACGATTTGGATGAGAGTGATGGTTATGATAATAATGATAGTGAAGGCTATCTGCACTCGTCGCAGGAGGATTCAGAGATGCTACTGCTGGCTAGAGAAACACTCGTACAGCAGCGCAATATTTGCGAGGTCTTAGCACCATTCGCATCAACATATTTGGCTGTTGCTCAGTCGCTGCAAATTCTGCATCGCAGCGCAATGCTGGAATCAGAATTTATCAGTTTCGTTATCAACGATATATCCAATAAAGTTACCCGGGGTAGCTGTGTTTATGGTAAGCAATGCTATATTATTTAAGCCATGAGATATTTAACTAATTGTTTGATCTTTTTAGCTGAAAGCATTTCGACTGACTCTGTGCGCAATTGCTTGAAGTTATTTGAGAAATGGTCTGTGATTGAGGTGTGCAACCAGCGCGGCATGCGTTTGATCTCGCTCAACACGCTGTACGAGATGTCGCGGGAGTCGCTAAACTCCATTGTCAAGAAAATTGAAGCCGTTGTTCCAAAGTACAATGCGAGTTACTTTAGCCAACAGAAACTTTTGAATGAGCCGCCAGTTTAATAATCTGCGTTTCTTTTATTGATATATCATCATTTCGTATCCTTTACGTTTGGCATTCGTTTCTCTATTTCTCCCCGCTCTTTCTATCTCGCTCGTTACAAAGTAGTTAATTCTACTTAAGATTAAAGTGCATACTCTTAGATTCTAAATTTAAGACGTAATATATATCTTTAGTTTTTTTTCGTTCTTAGTCGTACGAGTACGAGTTATGCCAATGCCAAAGAGCTGTCTACATTTTTACTGTAGGTTCAGCTATGCGACTAAACCAAAAGTGGAACAAAATATGTATAAATATTGCATACATACATACATATATAATATGTGCGCACATATGTATATATAAGCATATTTTTCTACGGGCAGTTGTCGAAGCAACTATATCTATACATAAATTTATATCTATATATAATGTGAACCAAATAATGAACTGATTTAATAATGAAATAAAATTTTTTGAATACAACGAAATCCGAATTCTTCCAATGTTGTCTTTTGCTTTTTTTATTCCTTCCAAAAATCATTTCAAAAAGTTTTTAATATATTTTTCATGCGGCTAATCTGTCCTACAACGTTTATACTTAATTATAACAAACAATAAATTATATATATAAATTTAGAAGCGTCCATAGTCTGGCGATATTTAATGAGTTATGTATAAAAAATTTAATAATCAATAAGCAACAAATATGCCATATATATATATATAAAATAATGAACTATAATCATGTCTATTACACTACGGTTCCTTGGCAGCAACAGCAGCAGTAGTATCGGCAGCACCAGCACCAGCAGCAGCAGTAACATTAGTAGCAGCAGCACCGGCACCAGCACCAGCATCAGTGGTATCTGCAGTATCCGTTGTTGATTCCGTTATGGGCACATTATCTGCACTGATGTGTTTGGATTTAACCCTCTTTACTGCCTTCTTTTTGGGCGCGCCGACGTGAATTCGAATGCCTTTGTGCCGTGGCAATTGCTTCAATTTCGTCTCCTGCATACACAGCATGTTGTAGTCAAATTGTTGTTTAGTTCAATTTTTTTTGCTTACCTTAATCTCCTCCTCCTTTAGCTTGCCGCCGATCTCGCCAGAGCAACGCTTTGCTCCACAGAAACAAGCCTTCTTGCCATTATTCATAAGATCATCCCATAGATAATTGAAGGTGAGCTCAGTATTCTAGAAAGATATCGAAATTGAAATATGTTTTCATATTTTTAGCATATCATATATGCCTTACCTCTGTTATGTCCTTGATGGCGAAGAGGCCAACGCGATTAATACAATTTACTGTCCACTTTTGGGTCGCACAGTTTGGCTCACAGGAATGATTCATGAAACGTGCCAGATTTCCCTTGGGTCCCGCATCAATGATGAAATCCTTTTCTACGCCCAGGAAATAAAAGTTCTCATCGCGATCTCGAGTCTTTTGCGCCATTCGTCGCTGAAATTCTGCGTGATTGATTACCTCGCCCACATACTCGATGATGAAGTCACCCTCGCAAATGGGCTCCCGGCAGACCAGGCCAAAGCCGCGTTCGTTCATGTAGACGACCTCGAGGCGTGGCGATTTACGCAGCTCAAACAATTGATTCTCACATTGGCTGCCCGCGTGACAGTAATCCGGATGGCATTCATGGTAGAGCATGCGATTAAGGCAGCCAGATTCGGGCCCACAAGGATGCTCGCTGCCCGGTTTACACTCGCAGACGTTAAGATCTTCTTCGTTGTAGACGAACCGTACAGGCGGCACCGGCTTATTGGCTTTGATCTTGATATACGGCGGCGGATGAAGCTTATTCCCACTTAATCGACCAATGGCCAGCTCCTGTCGCTTCGCCTTGATGATCTTGAGGAAGCGTGTCGCCTCCTCGACGCCGGCCGTATAACGTTTGGACATTAACGTTTTGCTCTTGTTGCCGTCGCCAGTATCGCCCTCAATATACAGATAAACCCGTCGACGCGATATCCAGCCATGATCATGGGTGCCAAAGAAGCGCACCACAAAATCATTCATTCCATGCGGCTTCTTTAGTATATTGTTGGGTATCTCAGTGGGCGGCAATATGATTGCCGGCCACCAGCGGAAATTATTGAATTTGGCCCACACGATCTCTCCATACAATGGCAGACGTCCGCTCTCGCACTCCTCACAGATGTAGCTCTCGTTGGTCTTGATTGGAATGTTACGGCAGTGCGCGTGCACCGCAATGGGACAGGTCTCGCAGCAGACCAGCTCGCCACCCCGCACACATATGTAGCACCAAAGCACATTAAGATTGGCATCCGCCTTAGCAATGTTGTGTCTGGGACAGATTAGATGGGTGACGGTTAGCATGCGCGAACCGGCTGGAATGCAACGTGAGTCCTGATGATAAGTGGCCGGGCACTTGACGCATTTCGTCAACTTGGCGTTGCCCAGCTGCTGATACTTGCCGCTGGGATCTTCCGAGACACAGGTATGGCACACGTGCATCGGGCAGCGTGTGATGGAGTTGCTGATGCTCGCCTGCGGCCAATATTTACAGCAGCTGGCATGGAACACATTGTTGCACATGGGTTGGCTGCAATGGAACAGCTTGCTGGTCGCAGACGACTCCTCAGTCTCGGGCTTGTTTGGCGAAGCTTGCGGCGAGCCTGCTGGCAATTGTTGCTGATGGCATATGCAACAGGCATTCGATTTGCCAGTGGCGCACTCCCGGCATATAAGTGGCTCCTTCTCCTCTTCCTGCTCCTCTCTAATTTCATCGCCAGTTATGTGCTTAGCTAGCGTTGTCGTCGGTAGCTCCAGGTCCAAAACGGGCGACGAGCTGGTTAAGGGCTCAGGCGTGTTGCCGATTGCCTTTTGAGTTCTCATGGACTTGCTGATAGCAGTTCCTTGTTGTGCCAGGCACGTGGCATGCAACCAACTGTTACAGTTTAAGGAACAGCGTTGTATATCGCCCCCTGGCTCGTAGCAATATTTGCACACTGGCTCACGATTTAGGCCACGGAACAGATACTTTCGGTCCAACTGCAGTATATCCTCGACCACTTCTTCAATAGCTCTGCCAATAGGTTTCTTCGCTTTGTTTTGCTCAGAAAGCGGTCGCTCCTGCTCCATTAACTCAGGAGTATGTGGTGTTGCATGAGATGTAGCTACAGTTCCGTTGGGTGCAACAACGGGCGTTAGACTGCGTCGCAGCATCATGGTCTTTAGACGATTCGAGAGACGCTTTATGGTGCCAACGCCGCGACCACGTTCTTTGCCCAGCCGAGCCGATCCTAATAGCTCTGCATCACCATTCGCTAAATCTCGCTCCAACTCACGTAACTGCAGCTGTTTTAGTGACCAAATGTTACGGACCACCGCCAGCAGTACCTTTTCAACCTTCTCCTCCTGCCGGTGCACCATAACGTATTCCTTGATCGCATCGAATAATTGACCAAACTCGGGATTCTTATAGTTAATCAAATCGGGTGACTGCATTTTCTCCGAGGAACCATCCGCTATAGACGTATAGCCCACTTGGGCCTCAATGTTGCCGCTGAGCTTGCGCCGCTTTGCACGTTTCTGATGATTGTGCTTGACGGGAGAGTAAGCTGGACTGAACGGAGTAGCGGAACGTTCTCGCTTGACAGCCACCTGCTGTACCGTAGACGTTGACTTAGCCAGCAAATTATCCGTCGAATCATACAGACTGCTGCCCACATCAGATGTGTCGTGACGCACGGACCTCGCCTGCTTGCGTTTCTTCCTGTTCTGAGTGCTGAAGGAAGCAAAAAGTTCAAGTTAGTAACTGATAAAGTTATTTACAGCTTCTACTTACATGGTTGATTCGTAGATGTCAAAGAACTTTTGCATACGCTCTGCGTAGGGCAGCTGAGCAACAATGTTTGCTTCCTCGATGGCTTGGTGCCAAACAAGCAGCTTATTCTGTTTGGCCACCATTTGGCGGTATTTGGTGCTACGGGGACCATGCTTGATGCGCACCTCTTCGCGCAGCTCCTGAAATGCTTTGAGGCCGGCAAACGGCAATAGATTCTCAGCTTTTATCCAATTGTGCCGTCCATTGTCGGCAAAGAAACGAACATGCACTTGTATGGGCATTGGCGCTCCGGGCGCACTGTCCGTTGACTTGCGTTGAGGATGTGCTTGTAGGTTGCCCACAATCTGACCCAACTGATCCGGGCAGACCATGCAGGGCCAGTAGCAATAGGTAAACAGCTTGCCCCAATAGAGATCGCCCACCTGGTAGGTGGGCCAGCCTGCATCGGTGACAATTGACGATCCCTTTGCACTATCTAAGCTAATCGATGACGGTGACTTGATCGATTGTTCGCTATTGTTGGCAGACTCTATATGATCTGGTGGTGATTTCAATGGCTCGATCTCGATTGCCGTGGATTCCACCTGGCTGTGGTGTGCATTCTTCATGTCTTCAGTTTTTAGCTTTGGTACAACATCAATTTGATTATCAGTCTGAAATATTTTGTGTTCCACATCCTCTTCCATCGGCTCAATTTTGATTGATAACTCAGGCTGGACAGGACTCGTTTCCTGTGCCTCTGCATTTTGCACTTGCTCCTCTACACTTTGATCTGCACTAGATTTTTTTACTACAGCCTCAGCAAGAGTTTTTTTATTCTTTTGCTTTGGGCCACGTTTCAGTTTGCGTTTGAGCTGTTTGCGGGTTGATTTAGCCAGTGTCACATCCTCAGCGTCGGCCTCGAAGCCCGTACTGTTGGGTGAATTTGCGCCATTCTTGATGAGCAACTTATCAATGGGACTCATAAAGGCAACTGCTGTCATGTAGGTCTTGGGCGAAGCAACGTCGCTGTCTCTATCTATAACATTTAGATCGCAGCTGCTGTTTAGAGGTTGATTACGTCGGCGTGTTGTGCGCACTTTGTCTACATTTTCGGGCATTGCTGTTATGGGCGAGTTGGCATTGGCATAGCCAATGTATTTGGGGCTCAAGTTTGATTGCAAATTGATCAAGTCGCGCTTTCCTAGAGAGACTCATTAGCCTTGATAACTTGTTCCGATTAACCAACTTTCTACTTACTCTTTTGTGTTCTCACTCGATGCTTTTCTTCAGTTTCTGATGTCTTTGCTACCGCTGCTGCTGGCGGCGTCTGTCGCAGCTCTGTTGTGTTGTACAGTTCATTTTCTGTGTGTTGCTCACTACTGTCCGTGGCCGACTGGACGTCGTTGATGAAATTTCGAAGCAACAAATTTCCGGGAAAGCGTTGAGTTGTGTTTGAAGATTTCAATTCAGTTTTCATTAACGTTGGTGATGTAGTGTCTGCAGTCGCGTTATCCATTGCCACAGTTTTTGTACAAACAGCGCCACCATTTTGCATGTCTGTGTGTGTATTACTTGCGCTTAATTTCATTACTATAATTGCTTAATTATTCAGATTGCATATAACAAGCGCACAAATAATACCAAGCACACCAAGCGCTTGCTTGCGCCAAATTTTCATACAGTGTTGCATTAGCATGCAGCTGTGGTCACCCCAAAACATCAACATATACCGCAATACATTAACAGAGCCAAGTAATGTTAATTCAATAACAATCATTAATACTATTACAAAAAACTAGACCTAATTTTATTAATGCAGTTTGATTCAAAATAATAATAAAACTGGATTTTATTACGAATCGCAAAGTAAAAAAGAGTAACTTTCTTGAATTTGAACAGCTGACACAATGAACAAAGACATAACAGTGCAGCTGTTGCTTAACAGCTCTTAGCCAGTGCTGTACAAATACATGCACTGGTCAGTGTAAAATACGTATTTTATTAAAAGAGCAAAACAAAAGGCGATTTCACATAAATTGTCTCTGGTCACACCATAACATCTGAGAAAAACATTTAATCCAAAATATAAAATTTAATTCATTTAGTGGAGTCCACAAAAAATGGACAATTTTGTAAAGACCCTCATCGAAGAAGTCAAATCGCAGGGAGTCTTTGATGAGTTTCGTTTCAATTGCTGCCTGGCAGATGTGGACACAAAGCCTGCATACCAGAATGTACGAAATCGTGTGGAGACTGCTGTAAATGAATTTCTGGGCAAACAACATTGGACGCCCGATACAAACAAAGTGCAGCTGAGGGAAAGACTTCGAAAACATTTGCTAGAGTAAGTGCCAATGCATATCGAGATGTTTTCTTACTATACATGCATATACATATAACTCGTGCGCTTGCAGTTCCGATGTGCTGGATAAGGGCGTAGATCATATAGTGGATCAAGTGGTCAACCCAAAGGTAGCCACGATATTTGAGCCCAAAATCGAGAGTATTGCTTATAAATACTTAGGCATTACCCCACCACCACCACCCACAAACCCTCCGCCACGTCCGCCGTTGTTGCCAGCGCCGCCCTTGCCGCCCTACACTGGCCATGGCCTTGGCCATATGAATGGTGGCAGTCTACTTAAGGTGGAGACAACCGCTAGCCTCTTACCCACAGATTTGGAGCAGATCAGTCCAGATTCTGATCGCGCAACTGTCAAGTCTGATGCTAAAGATGACAGCAAAGACGATGAGCTGCCACCTGGAGTAGATATGGATGATATTCTCGATGAGGATGATGCTACTTCACCTGCATTTGAGCCGGCCAGCAGCATTAAGGAAGACACAAACAATGCATCCTTAAACACATCCGATTCGGTCAAGGATGTCAAGGAGTTAGCCAATGACTCGCGAGACGCTGGCGCCTCGCAAGCCTCACAACTGTCGCAGGTATCTAGCGATAGTCGCCTCACCATTGCTTCTACAGACGCACCGCAGCAGTCGTCCACCAACAACAGCGTCCAGTTGACGACGAACATTGCTGCAAGCATGTCCGAGGAAGCGCAAATGCCCAAGTTCAATGAGAACTCGAGCGATGCAAGCGACAACAGTGGTCGACAGTTGCATTTTGATATCAAGCAGGATGCCATCACATTCGAGGGTTGGTGCCAAGTGAAATACAACAGTCGTTTATTAATTCTAAACGTATTCTAATTTCAGGAACTGAACGCAGAAATTCGCTCTCAGATTGCTCGAATGGTGGAACGCGCGCGCTTTCCATTGAGGATGCCATCATGAGCGAGGTGAAAGCCAATATAAATGATGTCAGCGATAATCTCATAGAGACAAAACCAAAGTCGTCGCCAGAGCCCATTAAATCCGAGAGCAATTTTGGTCTGTTTACGGAATCAAAACACAATTCGCAGCCAATGGTAGCCAAAGAAGATGCAACGCCTCAGCTCCCTTCATTACCGCAAGAGCCGCTAGTGCCAGAAATAAAACCAGAATTGCCGCCTACAGAAGATGCAAAGACAGAAGAGCCTGAACCAACGGCTACAACTCCAATTTTATTGGATGACATTAAAGATGAGATTACCAAATCTATCGAATTGACTGCATCGCCTGCCTCCGCTTCCTCGTCTTCGCAAACGAAGAAGCCATCGCACTCAAGGGACAAGGATAGACGTCAGCATTCACAATCACACACACGCTCAGATGACAAACAGCGGCGAAAGTCTCGGGAACGTGAGCGTGATCATGATAAGTCACGCAGCAAGACATCTTCCAGCTCGAAACACTCCTCGTCCCATTCAACGCATTCATCCAGTTCTAAGCATCGAAGCAGCAGTACAAAAAATGACAAGAGCTCCACTACAAGCACGTCAAGCCGAAGCAATCATGACTCCACCTCCTCCTCTAAACGTTCCTCAACACGTCACGAATCCTCCTCATCCACGCACAAAAAACACAAATCCAGTTCATCTGGGTCGCGCTCGGATCGCGATCGGGACAGAAGTCGTGATAGCAGGGAAACCCACAGTCATAGCCATCACAGTCGTAGCCACAACGGTAGCGGTAGCTCGTCGTCCAACTCAAAACGTGAACGTGAACGAGATCGTGATCGTGAACGAGATCGCAACAAGTCCAGCTCCAATTCCACTTCCAATTCCGCCTCCAATTCTATAGCAGCAGTAATCCAAGACGATCATAACGAAGTCAAAGCAAAGCTACAAAAACGACATAGCAATGACTCGAATGATGAGCCACCTGGCAGCTCCAGTAAATCCCAAGCGGACACAGCTGATAGTAGAACTAAAGAGAATACCACAGAAACAACAGTTCAAAATGGAAGCAAGCCAGCAGAGAGTAATGGTACAAACGGCACCAATGGGACACCGAGTAACAATGATTCGGCTGATCTGGTACCTGCCACCAATGTGGTCATCATTAGCGACATGCTGCAAGAATCGACGGTCAGCTTCATTGAACTGAACGGCGCAGGCGTAGCGCAAAGACCAACGGAAGACTGTACCAAGCCCGAAGCGACCGAAAGTGAGGCAAAGCAAGCGGCTGAGCTACCGCTGACATCAAAATGTATAGCGCCTACAGTCAAGTCACCAGAGCCAATTGTAGAGCCGGCTACAGCAGTGGAGCCAGTAACAGAACCAGTTGACCCACAAACTGAGGTTGCAAAGGAACCAACAGAGACCGAAAGCATTAAGGAAATACCTGAAGAGGTTTGCCCGCGGCCTGAAGATAAAACGGCAGCAGTTGTTACTGACGTTCCTAATGTTGCTGATGTTGCTGATGTTCCTGTTGTTGCTGATGTTACTGCTGTTACTGAGCCACAAAATGTAGAGCCCATTAAGGAAGCCATAAGCTCAGAGGATGTGTCTGAGGTGAAAGTAGTTGGCGACAGTATTACACATTTCGAGGAGGATGCTGAGCAGTTTAAAGTGCGTCTGGAGCTGATTGAGCAACATATTAAGGATCGACGCCAGTTGGTCAACGTTTTAAGTGAGCTCGGGGAGACAAGTTGTCCGCGTCGCAGCCTAAGTAAGCGGCGTCTCAGTAGCGAGGCATCCTCTTCCAAAGACCAACATAATGCCAGCAGCAGTGGCAGCAGCAGCTCAGGCAGTCCCAATGCCAAAGCTAAAAGAACGCGTCGCGATGATGCAAAGACATCGCCCACACCATCCGAGATTAGCGTCAATTCCAAGGAAAACGAAGAGCTCGAAAAGGGTAAGTAAAAATGGACTGCAAATAAAAGCCTCAAGCTCTCTGAGGGCACTAATCAAATTTCAATTATCTGCATATACATTTATATAACTACTATATGAATATATCTATCTGTACATATCTGCCTTTGTTTTCTCTTCACATGCCCTCCACACGCATAAACCCTAAATCCATAAATCGCACATTATATAGTTTCTCTAGAGCTCTAAAACTGGGTAAGACTCCAGCATATCTAACACATTCCAATTGTAGCCTTAAAGCCTTTCCCTTAAATAGAACTCGACTCATATATAATCTGATATATTTATATCTAAATTCACAGGTGATTTGTCGGGCAGACGTCTCAGCCAGAAGCTGTGCCAGCAGCAGCGCTATACGAATGATGATCTCTATAAGCCCCGACCACTCTTATCGCAGCGTTCGCGTCGTCGTGGCCTGGATTCAATCCTCTAGCTTGTGCTTCACACACTAAAGTCGCGAATCAAATCAAATATAAATATGTAAAAACAAAACATAATTGATAATAAAAAGGCAATTGTTGTTGTTGCATTTGACATAAAACAGTTTGTTTTTTATATAGTCATTTAATTATTTTTGCGGGGTTTTGTTTTCTCCATGGTTTATCTCTTTTTTGTTGCTGTTTGTCTCTTCCATTGTTTAACAATAAAATGTATTAATTTAAAGGGCTACTGATTACATTTATAAATAGCAAGTGCACATTTATATACATAGATTTATATATATATAAAATGTAGTAAATCAGAATAACAAATAATAAACATAAGTATGATGTATTTGCATGTGGGGGAATATATTTATATAGTAATTAGTCCGCGGCCCGATCGGCTGTTCGATTGTGACGCCATCTACAGAATTGAACTCTTTTTTCTTCTCTTTTTAGCCTAAAAACTTTGGTACATTAGAGTATTGATCAATAGATTGATTAACTGGTACATGGGTTAAACAAACAAAAAAATATTAATAATAATACAACTTTAACAATTGGGAGTCACAATCAACCATTGGATCGGTTAGCCAGGGACAACATCTGGGACCATCTGGGATCATACATACATATGTGGTACAATAAGCAGTTGTTTATCGAAACTAATTGAAAATTTGTTGTTTTTGTAACAGCATAAATTGTATTTGTTTTAATTGTAATTTGATTACAAATCAATTAATTTTCCAGCGAAAGAAGTTTTTGTTTTTGTATTGTTTGCATTGCGCTTTATGTTTCTTGCATTTTTGCATTTTGTTTTTACTTTAACAACATAAACATAAATATATTCATATATGTATATATACTTTTAAATTTGTTTTAAAAAAATCATCGCAGTAATACATAATTTTAGGTAATAGTATTTTACATGTAGGTTTCCTCTCATCATTTTCAAGTAACATAGATACAATATTATTATCAGTATTTTTAACAAGAATTTCGCAGATGACTGTATCGTATGTTTGTTTGTGTGTGTGTAAATATGTGGGTGTGTATGGGTGTGTTTGTGTGTGTGGGGGAGGAGGGGGTAGCAAGAGTTTTGTGCACAACAACAACTACAATTTAACCTCCCACTATGGAGTGATAAAACTCTCACACCGACTCCACGCCGAATATTCAAACAGAAACAGCCAGAAGGAAGGGCAGAGAACGGGCAATGGCAGTCGCCAAGCGTTTCAAACGCCGTGTCCGACACCATCGCAGTCTTCTCCTCATTCTCCACCAAATATTTACATACATATATTATTCTCCATTCCGGCTGCTCTCTTAACTAAAAGCTACGCTTATTTTAGTCGCTGCTGTTAACGTGACCAGCTTACGTACTGGAGAAGCCCCGGTCATATGGATTCTTCACTTCAGTGTGCCTCGTATGCATATTGATGGTGGGCGCAGCGGTTCGTGTGGATAGCTCACAGACCGTCTTAATGGCACCGGATGCATTCACACTAGGTGGGGCCGGCTGATGAATCGTTGTTACCTCCCTGACCGTTAGATCTGTCAAATCTTCAGCTTGCTCTTCTGGCTCACTCTTGGGCAGCACGTACTCGGTATTTTGCTTAGGTTTGGCCAGCTCAGATCGGCCCGTAATTGACGATTTATACTCCTCTGGCTTCAAGCCGCACAAATAGAATTTAAAGAACTCGTACGTGGACCAACAGATGCCTGTGGCGGGCATGGAATACAGCACACGTGCCGTTATGCCCTTAAAGAATCCTCGAGCTCCTGCCATTCGGTAAATCTGCAAGTAATAGCAATTCAAATTAGTCACAGCTGATCTCTACAGTAATTGCACGCTGGTTATTTACTTTTCGGCTAGCTTCTAACATGCCCTTGGTGAGTCCGGTTTCCTGTGTGTTAAGCAGAGTCTTAATCACGTCCAGTGGCGTCGTTACAGCCGCCGCAGCTGCACCAGCCGCACCACCAGCTGCCATATGCACAACTGGATTATACTTGCGCTCCACATTTAACTTTATGAATTATGCAAAATATTAAGCTCTTTCCGCTTTGTCAACTCTTTATATATATATTGAGCTTACCATATTCTGCAGAAATTCGTATGTTGTAAAATGAATAGTCTGATATGGTATATTCATGACCAGCTGCGTTGAGTAGGAGCGATAGAAGGCACCCATGCCCTCCTTGAGGTACACGTCCCGCATGCAGCGTATAACCGAGGTATATGGCGAGTTGTACATTTGCATGCGCTGCTTAATTACGTCCGTGGGATTGGAAATGGCATCGTGTATGAGCGTCGCTACCGAGCCGGAAATCACTAAAAACCAAGGCAAACTCAACCATAATTAACTCAATCAATCAAATGGGTAAGTTTAGCTGCAACGCACCATAGTTCAAATGATTGTGCGATGTGAATTTCGTCAACGATTCCTTTGTCATTTCATAGACAGCAAAATATAACGAATGAGCAGGTCCAGCGCCTAGTACCACAGCGCTAGCTCCACGTACAGGTCTATAAGAAACAAATAGGATAATCACATAAATAATAGAATATGTAATATATATTTAACTAAATGCATACCTCATGAGACCCTCACGCGAGATCATGTTCCGTAACGTAGCCATGATATTCAAATGCGCCGTAGGCGACGTTAGACTCTGCATGCGTGTCTGTAAAGATCAGAGATCAATATATGTTATAAATACGTCAATTTAATGATACAAATTTGTTGAAAATTGCAATACTTATCTAATTATAAATGTTTTATGTTAATTATCAAATTTAAATTGCAATTCTGTTACTAACAGTGTGTCGCGAAGAAAAACTCGGACTGTAACATGTTACATCAATGTTATGAACAGCTTTATGAAACGCTATCATTAACAGCAATTCTGCAGTAGCAGAATAATTCAATGTGAACAACAGCAATTCTACTGTAACGGTGCATTCATGTTATTTACAGATCAGTGCAAATTTCAACAGCAAAATTATATTATTCACGAGTTACTCATTGAATGTAGCTAAATAATAAATTGAAGTGGAAAATATGAATATAGATGAATTATAAACAGATGGTCGATCTACTGCACATTTTTATAGCATCAGTGGCGTTAAAAAGATCTTGAGTTCCAAGAAAATATATAAGATAAGAATACTATCAGAAATAAAAACTACGTGATATTTCTCAGAATTCAAAAGCAATATAATAGAATAAATACTATGTAGTCTCATTTAAGCGCACAGTACATTTTTCAGTTAGCATATAGAATACAAAGGGATCAACAGATTTCTTGGAAAACCAATAGTGCGGCACAATGCCGATACAGTTTTGCTAGTGCCAAACGAGATCGAGCTCTACACGATTTTCCAGTAATTTTCCATTTATGATTTGACAGCATCCCATGCCATATAAATTACAGAGACGAGACGCAGCAAACAGAGAGCGCGACACGAATACGATAAGATTAAGCCATTGCTATAACAATGGCTAACAACTTATCTATTCACAAAGCACCCTACACATACAAATATATACATATATATATATATATATATATAAAAAATATAATTATATATACTTATATATAGTTATAGTACATATATATCAAGTAAACGGCCGCGCTATCAAGCAACAACGATATCAGCGTCAGCGAGAAGCCAACTCAAGGTGATGAAAATCAACAATTTCCAAGCCAAAAGCCACATCGAGTGTGTTCGATGATGATCGAACGAATTTGTTTTTAATTAAAAACAAAGTCTTTAAGGAGTGGCTGGACATTATATACACATATATTGTCTGATTATTATATAAATATATGATTATAAAAGATACACTTGTTGATGCACATTGCATTGAGTGTTTGCATATTCTCAAATTATATAGAAATCATTAATCAACAACAAAGCACTTTAAGTTGTCCAGTTGTCCATAGCAATAGATATTACAGATGTATTCTGAAATTTGATCCACCTTAATTGACAGTTGTGTTCAAATAAAATAGTTTAAGCCTCATGCAAAGGTTTGTATTTATATATCATATATCTAAAAGATAAATAAATATAAACGTTTTTATCAACATATTTATCTTTACATTATCTGTACATTCGATACGATCCTAAGACCAAACACCAAAACAACTTCATTTCACCTTGCAACAGATGCTTCTTTCAATAACCATAGACAAGCCAAAAGTTTACCCCCAGCTGGGGGTGCCATATAAAGCCATTTTTGATAAGCAAAATGCCAAATCAGCAAATGAAAAAAAATTAATACAATTATTTATAAACTAAAACGAGCAAAAGCAACAGTAATAACAACAAAGTTGTTTGTTTAATTGTCGCTCAATTGAGTATTTCTCGGAATGTGTCGTAACGCCTAGAAAAAAGCTCGTCACAGCGTGACAATAAATACCTATATATATATATACGTATATATTTATATACATATATGAATATATGATTACTCGTCGTCTGCTGATGACGCCGGGAATCCCTAGCCAGCTTTAGTTTGGCATTTAATTGCCAGCCGCCGTCAAATATGGATCGTTCATATTTATATGAAAAATACAACAAACGGAAATATTATTTTTAAACTCGTTTTTAAATTAAACAGAGTATATTGGCTAGCCGTCCGACAATTCGTCTGCCTCTATGAACGCTAAGCAGTTAACAGCTCTTGCAATGTAATCAGGAATTAACATATATATGTAAACATAAGCGCTACAGCCGGGGATTTAACAATGCCCCCCGAGGTTGTGGCAGATCATGAAAAAAGTATCTATATCAGTTTTTTAGCTAGAATTTCAAATGGCATGAAGTGTGGATATCTGTCAAACAAACAAACAATAGTCTTTTGGACTTTCTATATGGAACATAGAAACATCATAGATATCAGTAAACATATACCATATATAGTACATCACCACACTGGAGGCGTGGCAAAATGAGAAACCCGATATCTGTCAACATTATAGCTCTAGGATCACAAAATCTAGCTGTTAGATCAGCGTTAACATTTTCTACAGTAAGACCTATAAACTATATGGGCCGACCATTTGGGCATAGCAAAT